ACAGTAACATGGATCACATTTAGTGAAATCATGGCATTTTTCAAGTGCCAAAATTGATTTTGAAAGCACATCAAGCACCTTTTTTTTTTTTGTTGAACTATTTTTCGCTATAACATGAAAAATATATCGATTATTTTGGGCGAATACGATTACTTTACCAAGATTTAAAACTTCAGTTGCCCACAGGCTGCAAAATTTTACTTTCGATTAACTTACGCCTTATTTGCTAATCTAAATTATCATCACATGCCCAAAAAAAAAAATGGATCACGTGGCTTTTAACATTAACACAAAGTCCTTGCTGTATGAAATACTATCATTCGTAATTACCATTACTGGTTTAGATTTTTGCAAAAGGTCTTTAATTTCTTTTCTTTGACTTTCCCATGATTTTACACTGGTTCCACTACCTTGATCAGGGGTAGCTTCCCCATTTACTGTACAAATACTCTATACTTGAGCCTTATCTTTCTCCCACGTACGGTTAACTTCTCCATTAGCTCGGCACTGTGAGCATAATTGAGCTTAATCTCGACGAAATCGCCAGATTGTAAAAGAACTCGGACAAGATGATTTTCACACCGGGGTGTGGAAACATCACGTCTCCAAGAACAAGTCTGTTCCCATAATTAATACCACAAATTTTCATTTAAGGTGTCAATATGTTCCTGAACATCCTTGTATACGGCAACTCCTACAGGTTTTACAATACGCCCAAATACCTCATGAAGGTTTACGCCAGTCGTGTTCGCCACAGTGCTTTGGGTACCACGTCTATAACAAGAACATGATTTAAGACGACTTCCGGAAGGTTTGTGTCACTCAATGGAATGCTACCGTAGTGTAGAAAACAAGTTTCATGAGAAAGCAAATTTCAACAACTTTTTCAGCCAAAAAAAAAATGAAAATTCATCAGAGAAGGAATCTTTCAAAACATTAAAATTGTGCACATTTTTACAACATCGTACGGATTTCTAGGAGAGTTATCCGCGTTTGTATTAATGACACCTGATTTATATTTAATATCGTAATCGTACTCGCTCAATTTTTTAATTTCCATCGTGCTAAACGGGAAACAGGATCTTTAAAGTTATGAAACCATACGAAAGGTATATAAATATATAATATAAATACATTAAAGTAAATAAATGTTCTGTAAGAAGAGTGAGCTTTCTACCGTACAGGTAGGGTTGAAAAGTTTTTACACAGAAAACACTTGCTAATAGTTCTTTCTCTGTTGTAGAGAAGAAATTGTGTCACGAAGCTGTTCGAAATCAGATTATTGTAAATCGTTCCATTAAAAGAGATAACCTTTTTCAAGAGGTAAGAAAGAAACGTAGCAATTAGAGCAAATTATGGGATAAATCTGCGATAAAATTCGCCAAAACCTAGAAATTGTTTAATTTTTTTTTTGTTTTTAGAAATTCCCTTATGGCAATGACTTTATTTGGATCAGATTTTACGCCGTCTTCAGAAACAACATGACTGATATAAGAAATTTTGTCGTGAAAGAAATTTGTCGACCACAGAGATAGCATTTATAATGCCAGGCCAGCAGTTTTTAAATCTATCATGCAACGATTTAGATGGAACCCTTTGGCGAGATCGAAAGTGGAAGAAACTTAGCATCGCCAAGTTGTTCGAAAATGTCAGTTATTTTTACTACTGAGTAAACAGAATAAATACTATAGAGAGAGTAAATTTTGAATCAAAAGGTAAATAGTTTATATAAATTTATATTATGTTAAATTTTAATAAATACTACTATATTTACTAATATGTATAATTACTACATTATAGCTATCGCTAACAGTTTTTTTTTCTTCGTTTAATTTCCCGTAACAAATTATCATACGCAAATTTTTTTTTGTGTTATTGCCCTTAGAATACGCTTATTATTCGGAATCAGGACTTGCATCGATTCTATCAATGTAACCTTTTCATAAATTTGATTTATTAATGGAAATTTTGACAGGTGTTTTGGATCGAAATTTTAATTTTATGGTGGAATTTGTTATTAGTGGGATATCGTCTTCTCCCAAATGAAGGCATTCATCAATGAAATTTAAAACTTCACTCTGTTTTCACAAAAAAGATGTAGCTATAAAATGCTCTCATGTTGAATGAGAAAAAAATTTTTATCGATAATTTGAAAAGATGTTTCTTTGTCCTCGCTTGACAACATTATTTCCCACAAGGTTCTTACCATGTTCTGATCGCGGCATTTTTTTTTGAATAAAATAAAAATTTAATATAATATTACAAAGAAAATACGGTTTGCATATTTTAATAGCTGAAGTTAATTTTTAATTCGATTACAAAGTTTTTATTTTTAAAAAAAATTAGAATTTATCGTAGGAGTAGTCTAATTTACCAATAAATTTTTTTTTTTTTTTTTTTTTTTTTTGTAAGAATTGTACGTTTAACAAAATTCATAATTTGAAAATGAACCAAAAAAAAAATTTTTCTTTATAGATATGTTTTTGACTTACAGTTTTGATGTATCAACCTTAAATTTGCGGTCAGTTAAAATATAATAATATCCTTATACACACATTCGAATTCACACAGGGTTTACCAGTCACAGGAAGTTGTCTGTAGTTCCAAATAATTCTCGTAGTTGCTGCCAGTTTCCTCAGGTAAGTTCCATGTAGATACGTTGATGAGTCGACATCGTTCACTGTTTATTTCTAAACCGTGTTTATTTTTCATAAAAATTTAGTAGCCTACGGTTATGAGGGAATATCACGTGGTCCTGCTACAACCGTGTTCGATCTTTGGTACTTAAACAAACACCACTAGCTTCCAGAGTAAAAAAACCACGTCAAAAACTCTTGGAAGAAAATCGAGGCTTATAAAAGATTTCACTAAGTTCATAATTGTTCAAGTGCTAATAAAATAAATTTCACAACTTCTAATAAATTTGTACAATCACTATAATGTTTTTGTTTTACTATGTTATCAATTTAATGTCACTTTAAATTTCATTGTCAAGTCTTTTATTTATATTATTTTCACTAAAAGTTTAAAATGTCACTGTTTAAATTTTCGGCACCACACTAATCAAATTGTCCCCGAAAGGTACCGACGGTTAGAATAAACAAATTTTCAAAATCCATTCACAGGTGCAGTATCCCACCGCTGTCACCAAAAATTGTCACGTCCCAAGTACAAAAATAGGGATTTTTGAATATTAAAATGTTGGGGAATTCAACTGCTAAAACACTAAAGTGTACCCTGTAAATAGGTGGGAGATTCAAATTCTACTTTATAATGATTACAACAAGAAATACTTTAAATTGGTTACTTTAATCAACAGTAATAAGTAAAAGTTACAAGTTCGAGCCGAGAAATTACAAGTAATCGGTAAGAGTGCTCGGAGATATCTGACGAGATGAGATCCTGTGGTCCATGGGTCCCCATAGGACCCTGCGCGCGTTGAGTAGAGGGGATGACTACCCCTTCCTTTGAACTTCCCTGTGACCAATACAACCCTGACGGAGTGTTATTTTTACAAGTTATTTACACATTCATACTATTTTTCATTATTTAAATTTAACATTAACAATATATAAAGTTAATTAATATTTGTTTCGTCAATTACCAAATATATAATAATCGGTTTCGCAGCTAAATTCATTCGGAGTATGATAATTACATTTTGCATCTGTATATTTAATTACCATAGAATCATGGTAACTTTGAATTACTAATAAGATATTACAATAACGTAGATAATTTGTATTATAATACAACTTATTATTATTTATTTTATTATTATTATGATTATTATTATTATTATTATTATTATTATTATTATTATTATTATTATTATTATTTAATTAATCAATAAATTAATTAACAAATTCTATACATGTGATTAAAACTTTTATCATTAATTAAGAGTATCAAATTATTTAACTAGTAATGAAATGGTAAACAGTAATCAATTTATAATCGTTGTTTTATAAAATTATTAGTGGCATACATAGAATTAAGAATGTGAAATTCATATCAAATTTGAATATTGTAATTAAATAGAAAGCTCATTTCTTTTTCTTATAAACGAAGGATGAGTCATAGGTTTTTCCTGACGATACAATACCCTTTTTTTTTATACCGGGGACTCGAGTAAGGCCCGAGTCCCACGGTCCCTTTTTTATTGCTACCACATGTTTGGGTTTTCCCAACTGTTTCGAAGTTCGGAAATATGTATTTCTCAAAAGGCTATTTTTTATAGAAATAAACTCTGTTTCTTTTCAATTCTAATTTTTTGTGTCCTACGTGACATTTGCCTCATTTTCGCAGACTATTTCAACATCTGTAATTTTAACAATTATTCCTTTTCAAAAAGCAGCACATGTTTGGTTGCCATTCTATTTCGTTCTTTAGATTTTTTGCATGTGATAAAATTCTTTACGGAAATAAGCAAATAAATGCATGCGTTTTTATTTTACATTAAAATTCAATTATTATATTGATATTAATTTTGAATCCTAGCGCTATTACCTAGTTACTTCCGTACGAAGAGTTACGTAGTGTTTTTCCCTAGCGGAGAATTACGTGAATTTAGGCCTGCCGTCACAATACACAATGTATTTTTTGGGGGAGGGGGGTAAAATACGTATTTTACCTATGTAAAAAACCAAGTATTTTACGTCAAAAACCTCGAGTGACGCGTCACTTCCCAACACTGCTACTGCCTGCCTGCCTGCGCAGGCAGGCGCCGTAAGAGTGAGAGAGAAAAAACTTAAAACATTTAATTTGAATTTTCTGACTCTCTTACTCTAATGTGTTACCATGTCAACCTGCAGGCAGGCAGGCAGGCAGTAGGAGCTGTGCTAGCGCCTTTAAGTTTACCAAAATACTTAAAGTGAAATTCCCTATATTAAATAAGTCATAGTGACTTTTGTATTTCTTTAAATTCACTGAATCACCAAAGACGACACTAGGCGTAACGTCACACACTCATTCCTTTGGACAATTTGAGATCGTTGTATACGGGTCTTAAGTTATATTTTGAACGCAAATCGCGGTCAAAAATAATTTTAGGTTATGTGCTCAAAAGATTGTTAATGTTTTGTACCAGTGGAAAAATCAAGAAAAATGAAGTGTTAATTTTTAATTTAATAGTATTTTAGTAAGTGTGTAATTAACAATAAAAGTTGTTAATCATGTCGGTGGCACCAATTGGCAATATTCCGTACGTAAACTTGGTTTTAATTTGAAAAAATTTCTATTAAAGTATAAATGTTTTCATGTAATTTTCATATTTTTATACGGAGTGATTATTCGGTCAGTTAACTGGCAGAATTAGGTGGTTTGATTATTCTGACATTACACTGGCAGAATAAGTTGGTTTCTCTATTTAGTCAGTGCATCATTGAAAACACAATATATAAAGCTGGCCAAATAAACAAGAGACACTAATTGGCCAGTCAAAATAAATAGATTTTTTGTATTTTAATATACAATAACTAACGTTTTGATAAAATTTAAAAAAACATTATTAACAAAAAATATCAAGTATAGACAATTTAACAAAATGGATGAAAAAGGTATTATGAATATTGAACAAGTGTTTTTTTAATACAAAATTACTCCAACGTTTCGAAATCAATACGATTTCCTCTTCAGGGAGTCTACAAAATAATACAAAAAACAATAATAAATAATACGAAAACACGAAGACGTTAAATAATAATTTAGAAACATTTAATAATACAGAAAACAATAGTGATATTACACGAAGACTTTAAATAATAATTTGAAGAACATCAAAATAATAAGTACATAATAAATAAAAATACAGAAATAATGTAAACTGAGGATAAAACAGAATTAACTTAATACAATATTAAAATTAAAATCAATATAAAAATGAAAACAAAAGTAAAAAAGAAAGAAGAAAAAAGAAACAATAAAACATATCTTACGAATAAATAAAAAAATTGTACATTATATGTCGATGGAATTAAAATTTAGCCAAAAATTGAAATGTAACATTTGGAGTTAAAGTAAAGTAAATAATAATAATAATATACAAATAATAATAATAATAATAAAGTAAAGGAAATAAAAATGAAAATAAAATTAAGAATAAATAGAAAAATAGTAATAATCATTGCCTGATACTAATTTACAGGGTGTCTACTGGTCCTAGAATTCCTGGAATTTGAAAAAATGTCCATAAATATCCTGGATTTTAAACTCTTGTCCTTGAATTTTCCTTATTTTGCTTTTAAATATTCAATATTTTCAAAATTTTACTCAAACTTAAAAGAATAATTTTTTTGATCTATCAAAAAATAATTCCAATTTGTCGTTTGGTTAAAGAAACAGGTATGGGGCCATCCATAAAGCATGTGATATTTTTTTCCGATTTTTGACTCCCTCCCCCCGGTTGTGATAGGTCATGATATTTACAAAACGCTTTTTAATGATCTTAGACTTATTTGAAAGGTCATTTGCTACACTATAAGAATTACTTATAGGCATTAACGTGTAATTCTTTTCTTAGAAAATACAGGCTGACAAAATTGAACCAAAATAAATCAAAAAATTTAAAACAATCTTATTAACAGAAAAATAATTTTTGAAATTTTTAAATATTTTTTTTATAAAATTTTCTTGAAAAATCTACACTGTATGATATGTTATGTATTTTCTAGAATAGTTTGTAGTACAGAAAAATTATTCCAAATTTTTTTAATTTTTTTGGTCTAAGTTTGATGGCCTGCATTTTCTAAGAAAAAAAATTGCACGTTAATGCCTATAAGTAATTCTTATAGTGTAGCAAATGACCTTTAAAATAAGCCTAAGATCATTAAAAAGCGTTCATTATTTTAGAAATTATTCAAATTTTTGTAAAAAAAAAATTAAAAATGGCGATTTTTAAAAAATATCTAAATAAATTATTAGCCAAACGACTTCTGAAATATTTTGTTCTTTTCAAAATTTTATCATCTTTCAAAAAATGAACAGAAAAAAATTTTAGTTTCAATAAATTTTATGTTTTAAAACGGTTTTCATTCGTCTGAAAATGGGTGGTCTCTCAATTTTGACCGGTAGTGTATATTATTTTTTTCTTCTCTGAATTATGCATTATCTTCACACCAAGGGTTTTCCAGTAATCGTTGATGCTTAATAGTAGTGCGTTTTCTTTCTCCTTAAAGTCTAAATTTTCATTGTCCACGAAACTTTCATCAATTTATTAGGTAATCATCCAACCACATAAATATCTATACATAAAAGTATAGATTTTTTTCAAGAGTTATATCACATGACAAGAAAGCCAATACCCCCCCTCCCCCTCGTGATAAACCATGACCATTTTCTTAACCCCTACCAACCCCTAATAATATTACATGCTTTATGGACAGCCCCTATCTACAATATATAGATTTTTGACTCTTAATACGATAAAATGAATATTTTTGTTTAAGTAGGTTAATTTAAATTATGCTTGTCATAATATAAAATAATATTATCCATTTTAATGTCCTGGAAAAATAAGGAATCTGTCCTAGAATGTCCTAAAAACTTATTTTCTAAAATCGCGACTTTTTCCACTTTTTTCCAAATATTGCAACAAAACATCATATTTTTTAGTATTAAATGTACACTACCGTCCGTGAGTATCAGGACGCCCCTTTTTTCATGAGTGGAAAAATGCTTGAAACGTAGAAAATAAGAATGACAAAAATTTTTCGTATTTTTTTCCTGAAAGCTAATGAAATTATGAAAAGACTGACACCTGATCGAAGAATTTTCGTTGACTATTCTGTCAGATACAGAAAAAATACTGGATTTTGCATGCTTTTCGTAATTTTTTAATTTCTCGAAAACTAATTAACTTTTATTAGCGTTCTTGGTCTTGTTTCAATCTCTATTCAATGTAGAATCTAAATTAATTAATGGTATTGTGATATAAATTTTTCCAAAAAAAATTGAAACTGTGAAAGGCGGATAAAAAAATTTTGAAAAACAGATTAACACTTTTTCAAAAAAAAAATTTTTTTAATTAAATAATTAAGTAATTAAAAAGCTTTTTTGAATTTTAGTATATCTATTAAATGAACATATTTTACATTGACCTTTTTGACATTTTAATATTCATGATAATTTTTTGAATTTTTTGAATCCTCCTTTACGGTTTCAAGTTTTTTTGTAAAAATTTATTTCACAATACCAGTTAATAATTCAGATTCGCTACATTAGTGATGCATTTGAGCGAGATATACGAGAAATGAGAAAGAATGAGAAAATATCCCATTGTTTTGTTTTAAATCTCGTCTCATCTCATCTCATACTATCGAGATTCTCAAAAGATCGTAATTTTCGATCATCTGTTTAATATTTATGTTAGTGTCAAAATTTACGAATTAACAAATGTTGCAATTGACCAGAAATGATGAAAGTATATTTAAGATTTACTAAATAATCATAATAATGTTGCAGTATACTGGACACAATAATATTTTGCTTAAAATATCAAAAATGACAGAAGTTCTCTTTCAAATAAAAAAAAATAATTTCTAATTATCCAGTTATATTATAATTTATAATTAAACTCAAGATTTCGTGGATTATTCTTATAATATAATCTTTTTCCAAATAATTTTGGAAAAAGTTTGACAATAATTTCTATCTAAATTAAAATATTGTTATTTAACTTTCTGTCAGTCGCATAAAATTTGTTAGCTCGATTGGTTGCAGGTAAAAAAATTCCTCACCATCAGAAATTACTCTAAAATTGTTATAAAATAGCAAATTTTATTTTAAATGTTTACTAAAATTTTAAATTACCTTCTACTTTTTATTAGTTATTAAAATAAGAAATTAATAACAAATCAAATCAAGTATGCGCGGTTAGTTACATGATAAGAAGTTTCCTTACTTTGCGTCGAAAATCCCCGACATTTAATGACTTTGATATGAAAATAAAAATATAAAAGAACACAAAAACAATTTTAATTAACCTATAAAATAGGAGAACAGATACTAAAAATATACAATCATAATTATACGTATACATAAAAGTAGAAATTTGGTTAGGAAACTTCTCATTAGGCGACTGGTGTAGGGTTAATATCAATTTTTCCCAATTGATAGAGAAGGATACTGAATGAAAAAAATCACACAAATCTATCAGTACAACACGTGAAATTTTTTTTCGGTCCAATGCATAAATAAATACAGCTAAATTTTTGCATACATTATTTATTCTCTGATTCGTCATTTAATCGAGTGACAGTTGCTGTGATGAGAACTTAGGCGAGAAATGAGATGAGATGAGACGATCAAAACAAAAGAAATATTGAGATTCTCAATTTCGATTACTACTTTCGAGCAACGTGAAATGAGCGATATGATCAATATTCTCATCTCAACGTGCATCACTACGCTACATTGAATAGAGATTGAAACAAGACCAAGAACGCTAAAAAAAGTTAATTAGTTTTCGAGAAATTAAAAAATTACGAAAAGCATGCAAAATCCAGTATTTTTTCTGTATCTGACAGAATAGTCAACGAAAATTCTTCGATCAGGTGTCAGTCTTTTCATAATTTCATTAGCTTTCAGGAAAAAAATACGAAAAATTTTTGTCATTCTTATTTTTTACGTTTTAAGCATTTTTCCACTCATGAAAAAAGGACGGTAGTGTAACTCATTTCGATTTTTATATTGCGAAAAATAACTATAAATACATCTTTCAAAAATTATTTTTTAATCATTTTTCTATTTAAATTTTCGAAACATATAATTAAAAAGATTTTGAATAATTGAAATTTAGTAAAATTAAATTGTAAATAATTAATTTTTTTCCAAGTATTTTGTTAAAATTCTTGAGAATCAACTTTTGAAGAATTTTAATTGCAAATTTTGAATGAATTATCAAAAATTTCTAATGAAAAATCTTTAAACGTAAATTTAAAAATGACAATTAATGACCTTCAAATACCTTCAAATATATATTTCCGAAAATTCAAATATACACGAAAAATGATAACATTTTAGAATTATTTTTAACATTTTGGAAGAAAAAAAAAATTTTTTAATTAAAATTCATTATAAAATTAATTGGTTTTTTTTATAAATAATACAAAAAATCTTGTAAGAAATTCAATTCTTTCTGAAAAATTACATTAAAATATTTTTAAAAACTACTTAATTCTTAGAATTTTTTTATCATATTTTTTAAAGATTTAATTATCTTCAAAAAAACCAAATAAAAATTTACTCTTTAAAATTTCGGAAAAATCTTGGTCATATTTATAATTGAAATTCTTCAAAAATTTGATTATTCTTATTTTTTGAAAATATTATACCTTAATAAACTAAAGAAAAAAAGTCATGGACAGTTATAATTATTATAAAAAATTGAATTTTTGTATTTAAATAATTTAATTCTCGAAGAAATTTCGTAAAATTATTTTAAATAATTGATTTACAGATGAAGTTTATAGTTGAAAATTGTAGAAAATAATTGAATTGAGGAAGAATTTTTAGAAATTATTAAAATTCATAAATTTTACTCATTTTCCGTAATCTTTCATATTTTTCTATAAAAAGATTTTTGTCAGGGAATATAATTTTGATGTCAGGGAAATGTCAGGAACATTGATAAACTGAAACTTATGTAAACTTGTATTTAAATACGATGTTGCAAACAAACAATGTTTATTAAATAATATCTAAATATTTACAAAATATCGAACATATTTATATACTTGATAGACGGACCTTTTCTTAACACAATGGCCAAATATTGAAACCATCTTATTCTGACAATTTTTCTCTACAACTCAAAACCGTTATTTATTTCTGATCACTGGTCGAATAATTAAACCACCTATAGACGTAGTCATTTTCATAATATTTAAATCATTTTTGTGAGAACAGTTATTGCAAAGGATTATGGTCCGTTATATCTGGAACTATTTGTCGATGTGACAAGGATCTCGTCGAGGATGAGATTAAAAACGCAACTCCTCTTTTACGAGATGGGCTCAATTTTTTCAAAAAGTTCACTGAAGAATCGTTACAAGATGTTTCCAAGAATAATCCGCCACCTCGAATGTATGACTTAATCAGTAAACTGGCTCCACTCCTGGTAAGTTAATTTTTTTTTAATTTATCATTATTTTAAAGACAAAAACGTTATTAGAAATTTACTTTCCCCAGAATGTGGACGCGACGATAACGTGGGATTTAGTTTGCAATTTCATGATCTACGAATACAGAAATTGCGCGGAAACTTTTGCCTCTCAATTAACGGATTTGACGTCGATGAAAGTGTTGATCGAGGAAATTTGGAGCTTCTACTACGCGGAGAGGATAACACTGATAAAATGTCTGAAACTAATGGTGGAATATAGAGACAATGTAAAGCATCCCCATCAGAAGGAGTTTTGCAGTTTCTTCGACGAAGTCCTTTTGGGTAGTTTGTTAGAGAGTGTGCAGAAGCAAATTGAGGCTCTTAAGTTTATCAACCCTCCCAGTAGATCACAGCTTTTTACCGAAGACCACTTGCATTGGATCTACGAGAGCAGTTTGAATGAAATGCGCGAACTGTTGCACATTTACACGGTGATTTTGAACGACGTGCACGTCGCGGACAGTGCATTTAGTAATATTTACGCGAGCATCAGCGGAGAGCCGAGGCGCTTAATCTCCTACAAGAGCCACGAGGACAGAGAGTTGGTGGCAAAGAAAATAGAGGTCATTCAGTACAGTCAGGCGGGTTTGCTGCTAGTCGCGTTCGATGTGGCGAAACACGTCGGAATGGAGGATTGGATAAAGGGCGTCGGCAAGACGATGCAAGACACTCTCGAGCACAAGTGTCTGCGCGACAGTCTGCCCCAGGACGGCCCCTTGCTTCTCGCCTGGATGCTCGCGAATTACGCGATCGAACCCGAAAATCCGGACGTTCTCAACTGTTTCCGTCCGTTCGGCATTCGGGCGATTCAAATGAATGTCTTTCATTACTTGAGGGGACTGCTCGATTCCGAGATGATTAGAGAAGACACGCACTATGCGGAAATCGTCCGGAGTAGTCTCTATAATCTCTTGACTCTCCTTTGTGCTTTTATTGACGAGGACAGACTCGATACCCTGACGGGGGTTTTCGACGCCGTCGCCGCTGTTTTGAGATATCCGGAGCTCGCCGAAAGATTCTGGCAGGAGAGAGAAGAGGGACTTTGGGTATTTTACAAGTATGCGGCCCAATGGTTTCCCTATCGATTCGAACCCCTCACGGCAATCGTCACCGGTTTGGCGAGCGCTTCAGCGTCGAGTGCGAAAAACGTGACGCAGGAGCTCGATAACTTGCCGTCGCTCACTTTGGAGGTGTCTCGCCAAACCTTGCACACGATGGATTGTCTGAAGCCCTACGAGCAGGACTGTATAATTCATAGAAATTCGTTTAGGATTTCGAGGAACACTCCCCACGAGAGGATCGATTCGGCCAGGCGAAGGAACGATGGCGACGAGTTTGACGTAGTTCTCTGGCAGACGAAGGCAAGCTACTGGGACGCCTTTCACCACAAGATTGAGCAACTCTTCCTGCAGGCGAGCGGGGGAATGGCGAGTTTGAGTTACACAGAAGCCCTCCTCCCAGAGCAGGTGTCGCAGGGTTTCGCTCTTTTGGAAGCTCTCCTGGCCACTGACATGGAGATTCCTAGAAGTATGGTAATTCCCACGGAACTCAGCTTTGAAATTGTGAACCGATTCTCGTACGCGAGTCTCTCTTTGAATATCTACAAGGTCGTGGCCGCGTGCATCAGGGTCTCGTCGAAGCTCGTCCTCCGCTACCCCGAAGACGTTCTTTCGCGAATGAGAACCGAAGTTTATCCTCGATTTGACGATCGATATCAGAAGACGACCGAGTTCGCTGAAGCTGTCTCCTTCGACGGAGGGCTCATCGCTTCCTGGCTGTCCAGTATCGAGACAATACAGCACACTTACCCGATTCTCAACGCTTACCTCGACACCCTGTCCAACTACCTCATCGCTCGTCACAGTAAAGAAGCGATGTACTCCGTCGAAATTCCCGGCATGGTTCTCCTCCTGCAGAGCATACTTCCAAAACTCGATTCCTGGTACTTCCAGTCGGAATCCGAGAAAGTCGAACTCTGGCTAAAGAGCATCTTCTGCCTCCACCGAGCCCTGGATTCGGTCCCCGAACATAAGGGCGAGTCGCGAAACGAACTGAAACTGATCGTCACCTACAATCTACTACACCTTGAACCGAGACACGCGCTACTAAAAATGGTTCGCACCGGCGAGCGCGCACTGAGGAACCGAATGATGAACGAAACGGACTGGATCGCAGGCAAGGGATTCAAGGTTATCAAGAGTGTTCAGTTAGCCCTCTCGGTCGTGAATCGTCTACTGATGTACCGAAAGAACCTCGGATTGGGAATCGAGGAACGATCGCCGCTCGAAATCGCGCTCTACGCCTCGCCTTCCCTGCCGAACGGCCTCCTCATCGTGCCGACGATCGTCGACTACCTCTACGTGTGGTTCAGTCCGGCCCTCCAGGCCATGGCGGTGCGACTCCTAAAGAAGTTCGCCGAGGGATTCTCCATGTCGCTTTTGGTTTGCATGGGAATGGACGGAACGGCGATTCGCGAGACATTCGCCTCGAGGCTAATGTCGCCCACATGCGCCGCGGAGGTCAAAGTTGCGGTTTTGGAATTAGTCGCCGTTTGCCTCGATCGTCAACCAGGATTGACCGAGGCACTTTTTAATATAATGCACCAAGCCGAACGCAAGAGAATTTTCCCTCGACCCGCTGATGAATTTCTCACCGAAGGTTGCACTCAATTCCTAGATCTTTATATGCAAAGAATTTTCCAGGAGGACAACATAGTCTACGACCGACTTTACGACTCGACAATGAGCCTCTTGCGAGCCATCTGGTATCACCGGAATGAAATTCTCGTCAACTTTTTCCGCAAGAAGCCTGAATTCTGGAGTCACTTGTTTGCGCCACTCTTTCGGAAATTGGTACCCAATGTCAAGGGGTATTCACAGTTGATTGACATCATCACACTGGAATTATTTAAGAGCACGCTTTTGGAAAAGGACTTTGAGACGAACTTGGACAAATTGTTGGATGCAAAAGAAGACTATTGGGGGAAGATGACGAACTACGTTTTCAAAAGTGTTCCCAACTCGGAGCTGGCTGAGGAAGAAGACCAGGTCATTTTAGAGAAAGACGGCATGAAGCCTTTTTATGAATCGATGCTTGAATCCTGGTATCAGCTCCTCGTGACTATTACCGACGAGAGGGTGGCGAAGAAATACCCGATCGACGAGAAGCAGGCCCGGGAGACGACATCCCTGGCACTCGATCATTTACTCGAGTTACTGAAGCAACCAACGCCAAAGTCATCAGCCAGGCGGATTTCCATTGCGAAGACCACAATGCTATTGGCCTCCATAGCTCTGCGATGCATCTCCTCATGGAAGTTGAAGTGCATTAGCAATTCTTCCGATTTGAAGAACAAATTGCGGCAACTCGTTCATGAAATTGCGCAATTCTATCGAGGGTACGGACGATCTTTGAGACAGACTTTAATTTCGTTAGTTTTGGGATGTATGCAACTGATTGGAGAGATTCTGGTTGATGACAATGTGACTCTTGATTATTTATTGGGACAATCGTGTCTTCTCGCAATCGGGGACGTTGAGGAGTTGCGCGAATTGGCCAGAAGTAGGGAAAGAAAACGAAAGTTTGTGAATGAAGATGGAAAAGATAAGGTGGACAGAGCTAGTGAAGATCTCGAGGCAATGGAGTTGGCGGCAATTTCCGAGTCTCTTCCGGCAACATTGACAGTCAGCGTTATCACTCAGCTCCTCAACTATCAGATCGAATACAATTCGAAGAATCGACGAAGGAAGTCCGCCAGTTTGCAACTTGGACAATTAATATCGGAAATAATGACGACAGTCGGTGTCACGATGCAGAAGCACCCTTACGCAAAATTCAGCAAGGTTGCCCTCGCTCTGTTGGGAACGGCCGTCAGATCGATTTCCGGAAGTTTCAAATTTGAGGAGGAAGCTGTCGCGAAACTTTGGCTCACCTTGATTCCACCTCCGGACCTGAAGAACAGTGTCTTGGACTCTCTGTATGACGTGAGTTGTTTGTTTTCTCTAATTATTGACGAATATTAATTGAGTGCTTTTTAGGATTGCAGCAGCATGAGCATCTGGCGCTGTCAAGATTGGTGGCCGCTCTACACAATTGGAATAGAATTTATAATTGGATTGGTGATTAGCGAATCGTCATCTGCGTACATTTCATTCGTTGTCACATTTCTTGGATCGCACGAATATCAATTAATGGAAGTTTCCACGTTATTGAGACATACAGCAGATCCTGCGGCCGCGGACCTCATTCAATCGTTGATTTCTCTCGTCTCAACTCTCTCGACGAAACCTGTTTATTGGGACTCCATACAACCGAGTGTTCGAGAGACTCTAGTGGTATGTGACACTTTTTATTTTGTACTTCAAATCAACTCTAAAAATTTTCAAGTCTTACTTCCTAATTTCTTAATCTCTTTCGATAAATTTTTTAAAGCTGATAACAAAATTAATCTCGAAGCAAAGATTTTCTAACAGATTTTGGAGAAAAACAGTTCATTCTCGTTTTTAAAAGCTAGTTCTTTTATTCGACTTTTTTGAAAAATACTACTATCAGAGATCAAACTAGGTCCGTAAATTCTGTAAAGGTTTGTAAATTTGCTTCAAGTCCGTAAAAGTCAGTTTTTTGAAAAAAGGTCCGTAATTTCATAGAAAAAAGACGAAAAATTCGTCAATTGTACGATATTATTTGAAGAATTTTAGAGAAATTACAAATAATTGCAGAAATTCAATTATTTTCAAAAATTTCAATAAAATTCTTGGCAAAATTTCAATTATTTTCAAAAATTTTCCTCAATTAAATGATTTTCAATATTTATTATTTTAAATAAAATTTTCCGAACGAATTCAATTATTTAAAAAAAAATTTGGTAAAATTCTACGGAAATATTTAATTATTTTCATGAAATAATAAAAATTCCACAGGAATTCAATTATTTTTAAATTTTTTATAAATTTCTTCTCAATAATTCAGTTATTTTCATAAATAATAAAACTTTTACAGAGATTCAATTATTTTCGAAAAAACTAAAATTCTGTTTAAGAAAATGAATTTCATTTAAAATTCTAGATTACAATTGAATATTAAAAGCATTATAGCGTGAATTTTTAGAAGTACTTGAATATTTGAAAAGGTTTCATATTAAAATCTTTGAAAGTTTGAATTTTTCATAATTTTAACTAACAATTCTGTATAAGAATTAATTTTTCTGAAAACTTTATTTGAATTTTACTTGAAATAATGTTTTTGAAGTTTTTATTTTCTACAATATATTTAATTGAAGAATACCCGAATAATTGAAATTTTGTAAAATTGAATTGTAAACAAAAGGATTTGAAAATTCTTAAAGAACTTTTTAAAAAATTATATATTTAAAAGAATTTATCACTTGGTAAAAAATTATATAATTCGAAATATTTCGAATTTTTCAAAAATTGTTATCAATAATGGATTTAAAAAAATATTCTAGTTAAAAAAACACCAAAAAGATCTAATTTTGGAGAAGTTACAAATTATTGCAGAAATTCAATTATTTTCATAAATAATAAAACTCATCGCAGAATTTCAATTTATTATTTTTAATTGAATTTTAATCAAATTTCTCGAAAAATGTAATTATCCTTAAAAATTTTATTAAAAATCGTCCAAAGAATTTAATTATTTAAAAATTTATTGATAAAATTCTTCATGAGAATTGAATTTTAAGAAACATTCAATTATTCAATAAATTATTTATTTTTGTTCTTGAATAACTGAATTCTAGTAGAATTTTCTAATAAAAATTGATTTAAAAATGAATTTCAGTAAAAATTTAGATAATAATTGAATATTAAAAGCAATATAGCGTGAATTTTAAGAAATAATTGAATTCAGGGTGGCCACATGTCAGTAAAGTCAGTAGAGTCAGGGAAATGTCAGTAAAACAAAATTTTTGTCAGTAAAGTCGATTAAACGTCCGGTTAAAAAATTTTTTGTCAGGGAAATTTAGAAAATTGGGATTTTTTCGACTTATTTTCAAAACTTGCGACGTTTTCGACTGTTTTTCCAAATATTGCAACAAATTACATACCACAATTTTTAGAAAAAAAGTGCAACTTATTTTGATTTTTATAATGCGAAAAATTACTATAAACAAATCTTTCAAAAATTATTTAAAATAATCATTTCTCTATTTAAATTTTCGAAATATAGAATTTAAACAGATTCTGAATAATTGAAATTTTGTAAAATTTCATTGAAAATAATGAATTTTTTTTTCAAGTATTTTGTTAGAATTTTTGACAATCAACTTTTGAATAATTTATATATTTACAAAAATTCAAATACATAAAAAAAAGATAACATTTTAGAATTATTTTGAACTTTTTGGAAAAAAAAACAATTTCAAAATTTTTAATTAAAATTCACCAAAAATCAATTAGTTTTTTTAAATTATACAAAAATTCTTTTAATTAATTCAATTATTTTCGAAAAATTACATTAAAATATTTTTAAAAACTAAATTTTTAGATTTTTTTTATTATAATTTTTTAAAATTCAATTATCTTCGAACTTAAGAAAAAAACATGGACAGTTTTACAATTATCATAAAAAATTGAATTTTTGTATTGAAATAATTGAATTCACTAAAAACTTTTGGAAAATTATTTAAAATAATTAATTTAGAGATGAAGTTTAGTTGAAAATTGTAGAAAATAATTGAATTCAGGAAGAATTTTTAGAAATTATTAACATCCTGGAATTTAGAAATGAACTTTTTTTGAAAAAATTTAATTGAATTTCTTTTTGTATTATTTGAAGCTTTTATTTTCTAATACTATGAAGAATTTACGAATAATTGAAATTTCGTAAAATTGAATATTGTAAACAAATGGATTTAAAAACCGTGAAAGAACTTTTTTGAAAATTATTAAAAATAATTGATTTAAAGAAGAATTTTGGTTAAAAATTCTTGAAAATAATAATTGAATTGAAATGATGAAAGTAATTTTGAAGAAGTTACAATAACAATATGTTTCTCATAAAACTTGTTGCATGATGTGAAATAAATTGAATACTGTCAATGAATATTTTGTAAATTAAAAGATTCTTTTCTAATAAAATGAATGTTTAATCTTTGACAGAAATGCACATATCTTGCCTATGACAGTACAGTGAATCTCCTGCTACGCCCTCGAATTTTGAAATTCATCATGGACGGAATAAGTGTTGAGAGTGCTGAAGAATTGCAAACATGTGACGAAAAGCAGCTCAGTGGCGAATTGAAGCTTCTTGTAAACAAATTAATTTTAATCAATACATCCTGTGCAATGAGTTTTGTTTACTTCTCCCCGCGACTCAATACTCTCGTCGATACAATCTACTGCCAGGAAGATTTTTGGTACGCTCCAATGGCGGAGATGAACTTTGGCCCTCCCCAGATGTGCATCACTTCTGGTCCACAATTGACTTACGGTAAAAGTGCAATTCATATTTTTATAATCTCTCAAAAACAAATAACAGGCATCACAGTACCTTTTATTTTCAAAAAGGGGAAAAGGGGACAAAAAATAGACCAAACAACAAATTAAAATATCTTAAAATTTATATGAACAATGTATTAATACTCAAATTTCTTACAGTTTTAGATTCTTTGGTAGAAAATAACTTTAATGTAAAGAAAATTTTTAAATATTTACATCACATAAACAATAGGAATATACAATAATTATTTTTAAGTGTTTTCGATATATCTTTTTTATAAACTTTTCTAAAATTATAGAATAGATATAAATTGCAAATTTGTCGTATCTATTCATTTGTTTTATCAATTAACTATATTTTCATATATTTACATTATTAAATTGGTTATATTTTGGCCCATTTGATTCTGAATTTAATAAACCTCAAAATGATTCTAGTTTGATAGCTTTAAAATCAATTTTTATATAAATATTTGAATTTGAAGTGAAGCAAGCATTTAATTATAAATAATCTGAATCAAAAATAAAACATGATAAATTCAAAAATTCATGGTGTCCAGCAACCTTGAAAACCTTGAAAAGTACTTGAATTTTTTTTGCTCCTTGAAAACCTTGAAAACACCTTGAATTTTATGACAAAATCTTGAAAAATTAAAATTCTTAAAAATGAGATTTATTTTCTTGATGTTTTAAGTTGAATTCTCGTCAATATTTCAATCATCTTTATAACTATAAAAATTCTTTGACGAAATTCAATTATATTCAGGAACTTTAATAGAATTCATTGCAAAATACAATTATTTTCATAAATAAAAATATTCATCACAAGAATTTAATTATTTTAAAAATTAATTAAATTCTTCGCAAAAATTGAATTATTTTCAAAAAATCTAAAAAAAAAATTGTGGTCAAGATTTCAATTATCTTTATAAAAAAAACAATAATCTTCGACAAAGTTTAATTATTTTGAGGAATTTTAATAAAATTCATTGCATACTTCAATTATTTTCATAAACAATAGTATTCATCAGAAGAATTCAAATATTTTCAAAAATTTTAATAAAAATCATGGGGCAAAATTTAAACTATTTTTAAAAATTTTTCTTACTTCGATGATTTTCAATATTCTACTATTTTGATAAAATTTCCCTAAAGAATTTAATTATTAAACAAAAGGTTTTAAGAAAAATTCTACACAAACTTTCAATTAGGTATTTAAAAAAAAAATTTTAGAATAGAATTTAAAATAGAATTTGCATAAACTTTTTCGCAAAAATCAATTGTTTTAAAATTTGGCATTCAATTCTTCGCAGTAATTCAATTATTTTCAAAATAAAATTCAATTATTTTCAAAAATTTTAATAAAACTCATTGCAAAATTTCAATTATTTTCAAAAATTTTTCTTAATTCAATAATTTGTAGATATAAATTATTTTAATAAAAGTTCCCCAAAAAATTCAATTATTTAAAAACAATTTTGATTGATGTTTCTTAAATTGATATTCTTTATATTTGTTAAATTTTATCAATAAATTGTATTTAAAGTTATTTATGAATAACTGTTGTATGTAGAAATTAAAAAATTGTTTATAAGTACAGAGTTGCCACAAGATTTTAATTTTATTTTTCCCTGATTTCCAGACAAAATTTTCACTTTTTCCCTGACCCTGAAGAACATCAATAACTTCTTTTTTAAATAAATATTTAATAATTATTATTTTTTATAGGAATTAAGATTCTCAAATTCAATAACTTATGAGAATATTATTATATAACATGACGAAATCGACCACTTCGAGTCTTCGACTCGGAGTTATCGATTTCCTCATGTTTTATAATAAATTTAAGATGACAGAGTGATAAAATCATTATTTCTTATCATAAAAATATTGTAACTATAAATTCAAATTTTCAAAGATTTTAATTTTAACCCTTTTCAAAATTCAATTATTTAAATACAAAAATAAATCATTTATTCAATAATTGCATATTTCTTAAAATTGGATTTTTATGACGAATTTTATTAAAATTTTTAATAATAATTGAATTCTTTCGGCGAATTTAAAAAAAAATTGTAAAAATAAATGTAATTTTTGGTCAATTTATTTAAAATTGTATAAAAAATAATTGAAGTTCTGCGATAAGTTTTGTTATTGATGAAAATAATCGAATTCTTGCAATGAATTTTATTAGAAATTTTTTTAAAGAATTGAATTCGTGTGAAGAATTTTATTTGTGAAAATAATTGAAAATAACAATTGATTTCTAGCAAAGAATTCTATTAAATGTTTTTTTAAATAATTGAATTCCTGTGGAAATTTTTATTTTTGAAGAGAATTGAATTTTTGGAAAGAATTTTATTTTTGAAAAGAATTAAATTCCTGGGAAGAATTTTATTAAAATTTCTTAAATAATTGAATTGCTTCGAAAAATTTTATTCTTTAAGAAAATAATGGAATTGTTTCGAAGATTTTTATAAACATTTTTGACAATAATTGTATTCCTAGGAAGGATGTTATATTTTACGAAAATAATTGTATTCTATGATCAATTTTATCATAAATTTTCAAATTTATAAAGCATTTTATCAAAATTTTTTTAAATAATTGAGTTCTCAAGAAAAATTTTATTATTTATGAAAATAATTGATTTCTTGCGAAGAATTTTATTCGAATTTTTTTAAATAATTGAATTCCCATAAAAAAATGTATTATCTGTAAAAAATTAAATTGAGGAAAATTAATAAAGAGAACTTACTCTATTATACTCGATTATAAATAATGAATATTTTGAAAATTAGTACCCGAAAAATGGACCTTGAAAGAAATTATTTTGAATCTTGAAAAGCTTGAAAAGTTCTTGAATTTTTTTTAAAGAATCGCTGGACCACCCTGAAATTGAATGTAAATTTTATGAGCACATATTGAAATGTATTTTTAAAAAATTAAGAAATTTGATTTCTGATCAGTAAAAAGGGAAAAAGGGGACAAATCATCAAAAAAGGGGGAAAAGGGGACCAACTGTGATGCCTGATTAATAAATTTATTTTGAATCTGTGAGTGTTTAATTTCTATTAAGACTTATTAAATTTTCAGGTACAATAATTAGTGCCACGCAACTATTTACACAGGCACAACTTCACGCACATTCTTCAAAGAGTCCCTCGTCGACATTATCGACTCTATCGAATACTGTGATTCGTCCGTCAACGTCGCGAGATGAGAAAATTGATTCGGCGAAGAAGGAATGGGAGCGAGCGTCGCCGGAAAATCTGAGGCGAATGCAAGTGAAAGATTTACGGAAAATCCTTCATCACACGGGTTCATCGGCCTCAGTTGTCCCATCGCTCCTCAGCAACCTCTCAAGTGGAATCGACTTTTCAGGGTTTCTCACGGGGCAAGACGTGACTGTGTCACTTCTCAGCAACCCAAGACTCATTAGAAGACCCTTTGATCCTTTGATTTGCGAAAATACAATTCTCTCGAGAGCAACGGCCCTCATTCCAATATCGAGTCGTTCTCATGTTGGCAAAGGCAGCACCTCCAGTCCGAGGAACGAGCAGGACGCTTTGAATCGGTCGCGAGGCGAAGCGAGTGGAGGCACGAGTGATCCTTGGTTCGCTTCGATGGAGGAAAATAACACAAGACTCGCCTTGGAGGTGAATTTAGCGTTGATACTTTGTCAGGCGCTGGAGGGCGTTAAGAGTCCCAGGTTGGCGTTGAGGGATCGCCAGCTCATCGCGAGGGAAACGGCAACTGAGATTGGAGTCTTCTTCGACTTTTTGGAGCAAAAGAATTTCACTGATTGGCAGGTGACGTACAAAGCTGTTTGTTTAGTTTCTTCAGGGTTGCCACAGATCAGGGAAATCAGGGAAAAGTCAGGCAGGGTGTCTACTAACCGGGGAAACCGGGACATCGCCGGGAATTTTTTCACCAAATTAAAAAAAGTTTTATTATTTTAATTTGTTTTTAAAAAATCGCTTTTTATTTCAATTTTTATAGATATTTATACTGTTTTCTAAATTTCATGTTTCTTGGTGCGAAGATTAATAATTAAAATTTTTATTAGTTATTTTAAAAAAAGAAACACACTTAAAATTTTATAATAAAATTAAATTTTCGCAAAGTTTTTTTAAAAATTCTGAAAAATAAGATTTTCGAAATTTTTCAATTCCGTTGTTTCGAGATAAATGAATTTTTATAAACAAATAACTGCCAATTTTTGAAATATAATTGAAATTTCTTTACATTCTGTTAAAAATAATTAAATTGTCAATAAAAAAATTCTTTTTAGGAATTCATTTATTTTCATAAATAATAAATTTCATCGCAGAATTTGAATTATGTTTAAAAATTTTTTTAAATTCTCCCAGTAATTTCAATTATTTTTATAAATAATTAAATTGTTCTCCACAATTCAATTATTTTCAAAAATTTTAATAAAATTCTACGCAAACATTTAATTATTTTCATAAATAATAGCATTCTTTTAAAGGATTCAATTACTTTTATAAATAATAAAATTCTTTGCAGAAATCCAATTACTATCAATACATTTTAATAAAATTGAATTAATCAAATTTTCAATTTAAATTATGAACAGACAAAATTATTTTAAAAAATTTAAATATTCTTTGTTTAATTCAATTATTTTCTAAATTTTTAATTAAAATTATTCAAAAAACATTATTTTCAAAAAATTTAAAGAAACTCGTCAAAAGAATAAAATTTTTTGAAGCCATTTGTAGATATATTTATGTTTGAAATCAAATAAATTTAAATTTGATGAGAAAAAAAACCGGGAAAAATTAGGACAAAGCCGGGAAAAAATCGGGAACTTTGTTGAACGAAAATAGTAGACACCCTGATCAGGGAAAGTAAAATTGGTCAGGGAAATCAAGGAAAAGTCAGGGAATTATATTAAAAGTACTGGAAAAAATTTAATTTTTAGAATTTATAAGAAAATTCTAGATTTTTGTGTCTTTGTTTTGAAAAACTTTAATTTCAATTTTTAAAATTTTAACACAATTATTTGAAAGAATTCAACTATCTTAATAAATTTTAAAATTAGAAATTCAATTATTTTCAAATTTTTTTTTAAAATTCCCGTCAACATTTTAATTATCTTTATAAATAGCAAAATTCATTGTAAAATTCAATTATTTTATAAATAACAATATTCATCACAAGAATTCAATTATTTTCAAAATTAATAAAATTCTTCGCAGAAATTCAATTGTTTTCAAAGATTTTAATAAAATTTCCCAAAAGAATTTAATTAATTAAACTAAAATTTTGACAATATTTTACACGAAGATTCAATTATTTTTTAAACAAATAAAAATTTCACAAGAATTCAATTATTCAAAATAGAATTTGCATAAATTTTTTCGAAAAAATCAAATGTTTTAAAATTTGTCATTAGATTCTTCGCAGTAATTCAATTATTTTCATAAATTAAAAAATTTTTTTTAGGGATTTAATTATTTTCAGCAATTGTATCAAAAATCATTGCAAAATTCTAATAATAATTGATTTATAAATGAATTTTAGTTAAAGTTTTAGAGAATTGAATTTTGGAGAAGTTACTAATAATTGCAATTTTTAGAATTTTAAAAATTATTTCAAGTTTATTTCCAATATATATTTAATTGAAGAATTTCTGAATAATCAAAATTTCCTGTAAAATTGAATTGCAAACAAATGAATTTGAAAATTCTCAAAAGAACTTTATCATAAATTATTATGATTTGGATAATAATAATTGAATGTTTGTGTAAAATATTGTCAAAATCTTTGTTTAATATAAACAAAGATATAATATTTTAATCAAATTCTTTTGGGAAATTTTATTAAAATTTTTCAAGAATAATTGAATTCTTGTGACGAATTTATGAAAATAATTGAATTTTGCAATGAATTTTATTAAAATTTCTAAAAATAATAATTCAATTTTGTCGAAGAACTTTGGAATTAATTTATAAAGATAATTGAAATTTTGACGACAATTTTTTTTATTATTTTATTTTTATTGTTTGAAAATAATTGAATTTCTGCGAAGAATTTTATTTATTTTGAAAATAATTGAATTCTTGTGATGAGTAGGTATTGTTATTTATTAAAATAATTAAATTTTATTTGCAAGAATATTATTATAAAACATGAAGAAATCAATCAATCCGAGTGATCCATTTCTTCATGTTTTATAATAATATTCTTTTAAGCTATTGAATTTGAAATTTATGAAAACTTTTTTCTTATGAAAAAATAATAATGATTAAAAAAGAAGTTAAGTTATTGATATTTTCTACTAATTTTACATTAAAAGAAATCTTTAAATAAATGAGATGGAACATTATTTTTTGAGTATTTAATCATTTTTAGAGTGAATCAGAATATTCTTTAGGGCCAGGGAAAAAGTCAAAATCAGTCAGGAAAAAATCTGGAAATCAAGGAAATGTCAGGGAAAAAAAAAATTTTTTGTGACAACCCTGTTCTTATTAACATTATTATTATTATTATTTATAGGTCTCCGCAACACTAATCGAAGCTGATTCAAAGAAATCACGAGTCGTTGAGGCGCCGGATGTATTTAACCAGAAATTATCGGCGAGATTAGTCAAAAACTCCACAATACAAAAGACAGCAGTTAATTCGCCTTCGATTGAATGGGATTCTTCTCAAGACAATACGATTTCTGTTTTCGAAGATGCTGACGAGCCAGAAGAGAGATCGAACGAAGACGTAGTCACTAGTGGAGGATTTGGCACTAAAATTGTTACAATGAAATTTCTACCTCTCTTAGGTAACTTGTTAAAATCCGTGATCGAATCGTTGGACTCGTCAAATTATTAAAAATCATTTTCTATTTATCGAGTCGATCAAGATTCCATAGAAAAGCTTTACGTTGCATTTTTAAATGTAAGTAAAGATATTTTGTTAAGAATTTTGTACAATGCGAATGTAATATAATATTTTTCGAAAACACTTTTTTAATATTAATTTTGCAATTTTCCTAGTTTTTACAAATTTTTTTTTAATATTTTCCATTTTTCAATTCAACTGAATCTTCGTAAAAATTCGTTCATTTTCAGGGATCACAGACTCTCAACTTTTCACCTTTTTCAAATTTCGTCACCTAATTTTACTTAAGTATTTTGTAAATTTGTAAAATACTTTTAATCAAAATTGTTTCAAAAATTTTTTAATTAATTTATATTTCAATAAATCTTATTTTTAACAAACGAAATCTATTAAAAATTAAGTTAACTCTGAATCAATCATTTCAAACTTTAACTTATGAATTTTTTAAAATTAATTTTTATTTTAGGAACAATTTAACATATTTATCAATGTTTCTAAACATCAATAACTTAATTTTTATATAAATATTAAATCATAATTATTTTTCCATAGGTATTCAAATTCTTTATAAAATTCAAATTCAAACTTTTTGAAGTTCAACAAATTTTTAATTTTCAAATCCATTTCTTAACAATTCAATTTTACAGAAATTTCGATTATTCGGAAATTCTTCATTTAAATATACCTATATATAGAAAATAAAATCTTCTAATAATATCAAAAGAAATTCAAATAAAATTTTTCGAAAAAATTAGTTTCACAGAATTTTTAATTCAAAAGTATGAAAAATTCAGATTTTCAAAGATTTTAATTTTAAAACTTTTTCAAAATTAAATTATTTCTAAAATCTCACGCTATAATACTTATAATATTCAATTATTAACTAAAATTTTAAACGAAATTCAATTTGAATTAAACTTTTATTAGAAAATTCGACGAGAATTCTAATTGTTTAAATACACAAATAAAATAATTTATTGAATAATTGAATGTTTCTTAAAATTGAATTTTTATGAAGAATTTTATTAACTACCTTTGAAAATAATTCATTTCTTTTAAGAAATTTAGTTAAAATTTTACAGAAATTTATTGAATTAAAGAATTTTATCACAATTTTTAAAAATAATTCAAAACTTTTGAAGAATTTTATTAAAATTTTTAAAAATAATTGAATTCATGAGAAGAATTCAAATAATAATTTATAAAAATAATTCTGCGACGAATTAAAAGTTATTTCTGAAAATAATTGAATTATTGCAACGAATTTTATTATATTTTATTGGATATTTGAATGTTTCTTAAAATTCAATTCTTTCGTCGAGTTTTAATAAAACTTTTAAGAATAATTGCTTTTTTTGAGGAATTTATTTTTTTTTATTTTTTTTTTTTTTGCTTAGGGGCTTTTGGGAAATCTGCCTACCGATACCTTGGATTCCGCACTCCAAGGTTATGTGGGGTTGGTACAATGAAACAAAAGGAAATATTAAAAAAAAGATAAATACATAAATGTTATAATAAATTTAATAAACTGGCGACCTACTACCAGCCCGACCCACTAAAACATGTAACCCTTCTTCTGGAGCCCTTTACCCTCCCTCGGAACTGTCGTAAGACTTTAGCCTTCGAGGGTGGCGCTCCAACTCTGTCGCTAATGCGACCTTCTCCCTTTCTCTGCGGTCCTCCTGGGTCCGTAGTTAAAAAAATGATTAAAACTATTACAAAGTCCAAGCGGAATTCACAGCACAAAAATAATTAAAAAAACAAATATTTTAAGAAGTGTAAAAAGTCAAAAGATAAAATTGTAAACGGATATAAAAAAGAAAAGAAAAAAAAAGTAAACACGCTACTATTCTCGTATGGCTGTCCATACTCGGATTAGAACTGTGGATCTTTTTGACCCAATTCTTTCCAATTGAGGAATCTTTGGATCTGGTACTTCCGTTTCCATTGGAGGAGCTTCCTCCTTCTTCCTCTTATCGGTTTTGGTTCGAGTCTCTTCTGGACTGTCACCCTCTCTCTTCCGTTTCTGAGCATCTCTTAAGACGCTTTTGAGATTACGCCTATAGAAACGCTCTCTCTCTTTCTTACGGTCCTTGCGGTTGCATTCCGCACCGCTCAGAACGCATGCCAAATCGACGTCCGACTCATCGGCCGCGGCATGCTTTGCCCTTGCCTCCTTTAGCAGGACGTCGATGACCTTGAGTCCATCCTTTACCGTCCTATTGACAGTCTTCTGAATGTCGCAAGATTTTATCATCTTTGCGACCTCCAACTCCATTTTTTCGAGACAAGTCGCCTCCTCCTTTCTGAGCCGCAAGCATATCTCGCGAGTCTCTTCTATCGCCTCGTCGTCTACTTCTGAGTGGATAGCGCTATGAACGGTTTTTCCGCTACTGCAGCTTGACACACTCAGAAGGCTCGACGTGCTTCCTTTCCTTGTTTTTTTATTTTCCACGATGTTCTGTGGATCTACCCTTTCCACGATCACTCGTGGCACTGCAAGAAATTGTGCGCCCCCACAATCCGCGCGCACTTGAGCATCGGTCCTGGGACCGATGGTGAGATTTCCCGTTTCCGGCCTGCTCACATGGGGTACCTTCTCAGAATTTTTTGAATTCATTTTTTCTTGCTGTTTGGTTGTCCTTTAGTTGAAAGCCCCGCCACCACGACAAGGTCTACCGAACATATCCATGATGTCAATCATGTCTGGCAGTGGATATGCATCCACTTCTCCCAGCACATCGAAGACATCGATGATGTTCGGCAGTGGACAACCAGCGGCGGAGTTGAGGAATTTATTTAAAAATTGTATTAAAAATATTGAAATCCTGCCATGAAAATAATTGAATGTTTTCGTAGAATTTTATGAAAAAATTTTTTTCAATTATTAAATTTTGTGATATATTTATGAAAATAGTAAATATTGAAAATCATTGAACTGCGAAAAACTTTTTAAAATAATTGAAATTTTGACAAGAATTTATATTCTGATTCACTCTAAAAATTATTAGATACTATTATTATTACATTTACTTACGAATTTCTTAAATTGTAAAATTATTCGCAAACATCAATAACTAAATTTTTAAATAAGTAGGTATTTAATTATTATTTTTCCATAGGAATTAAAATTCTTCAAAACATTCAAATTCAAACATTTTTAAAATTAAACAACTTATAAAAATTTTAATTTCCATAAAATTTTAAAAAAAATTTAATTATTTACAAAAATTATAATAAAATTCGTTGCAAGAATTCAATTATTTTCATAAATAATAAAATTCTTCACATGGCTTCAATTATTTTTAATACAATTTTAAATAAATTTCTTGAAAAATAAAATTATCTTCAGAAATTTTTTGCAAGAATTAAATTAGGTACATTTCACAAATAATGGAATTCTCGGCTGAAATTTAAAAATTTTCAAAATTTACATTTTTAATACAAGTTTTCAAAAGAATATAATTATTTAAATAAAATGTAATAAAATTCGTTGCATAAATTCAATTATTTTTACAAGTAATAAAATTTTTCACATGAATTCAATTATTTAAAAAAAATTGATAAAATTCGTTGTAACAATTCCATTATTTTCATAAATTATAAAATTTTTCTGAGGATTTCAATTATTTATAATACAATTTAAAGTAAATTCCTAGAAAAATGGAATTATTCTCTTAAATTTTTTGTAAGAATTTAATTACATTTCATGAATATAATGAAAATCTTTGTTGAAATTCAAATATTTTCACAATTTACATTTTTTTAATAAAAGTTCTCAAAAGAATTCAATTATTTAAAAAAATGTAATAAAATTATTACGATGCAGGAATTCAATTATTTTCATAAATAATAAGATTCTTTACATTATTTCAATTATTTAAAAAAAAATTTGAAAAAATTCATTGCAAGAATTCAATTACTTTTATAAATTAATAAAATTCTTCACAGGATTTCAATTATTTTTAATACAATTTTAAGTAAATTCATCAAAAAATGTAACTATTTTCAAAAATTTTGTTACAATTCTTCGAAAGAATTCAATTATTTATTTTTAAAAATTTATGCTATAATGCTTTTAGTATTCAATTATTATCTAAAATTTTAACTAATATTCATTTTTAAATCAATTTTTATTGGAAAATTCTACAAGAATTCAATTATTTAAATACAAAAATAAATAATTTATTGAATAAATGAATGTTTTTCGAAACTAAATTATCATAAAGAATTTTATCAACAAATTTGAATTTTTTCGAGAAATTTTAATAAAATTTTTAAGAATAATTAAATTTTTCGAGGAATTCAATTAAAATTGTATTAGAAATAATTGAAATTCTATGATGAATTTTATTATTCATGAAAATAATTGAATTTTTGTAAAAAAAATGTTATTATTTATGAAAATAATTGAATTATTGCAAAGTTTGCTTAGAATTTTATCAAAATTTTTTTTTTAAATAATTGAATTCTTTTGAAAATTTTTTTTAAATCTGTAGATATTGAAAATCATTGAATTGAGAAAAATTTTTTGAAAATAATTGAAATTTTGCCAAGAATTTTATTAAAATTTTTGAAAATAATTGAAATTTGGAGAAGAATTTTATTATTTTTAAAAATAATTGAATTTTGACGAGAATTTTTTTTAATTTTTGAACATAATTGAATTTCTGCGAAAAATTTTATTACTTTTGAAAATAATTGAATTTCTGCAATCATTTGTAACTTCTCCAAAATTCAATTTTTTCCAGTTACTTAAATAAGAATCCCTGACTTTTCTCTGACTTCCCTGACCAATTTTACTTTCCCTGATTTCCCTGACCTGTGGCAACCCTGATAGTTTATGAGGCAAACAAAAAAGACACAAAAATTCAGAATTTTCTTATGAATTCTAGAAACTTGCTCCTCGTTTATTTATGCGCTATTCGAGTAGTGCCATTCAATTCTTGGTTTCGTTTTTATGAATTGTATTTAATTTGTTGAATAAATTAGCCAAAACCTTCTCACCTCTCTCGCCACCTATTTCAAAAAATGAATATATTTTATACTGTGATCCCTGAATTTTACTTAAGTATATATACCTACCTCAAAAATTTAATTTATTTCACACTAGGTATTAATTTATTACTGATATTAGGATTTTGATTTTTAAAAATAGTTTCAGTGCTTCTGAAAATAAGAAAATTTCCCTTTTGTAAAAGAAAAAATAAAAGAGGAGTATGTAGTGAATAAAAGCCAAAGTACATAATCTTACAATATTCATTTAATCTGATCGTTCTAGGTTCACATCGTCGAAAAGGGTATCGACTAATTGATAAAAGTATATTATGTATAAAAACGATAAATCGTTTTATTTTTTCCGTAAAAGGTAAAAGACTCCTTTAGATAATGGCAATAATATAAATTCCCATTATTTCTATTGTTTAAATTTAAACCTTGAAAGACTGAATGAGCGAAATAAAAATTAGCATCATAATTATAGAAAAAATAGCGTAAACATTAGATTTCAAAAAAATTAATTTCTTTAAAAAAACAAAACTTTTCAAAAAAAAAATGTATTTAAAAACAAAAATATATTTTCTTAAGAAAGATATTTGTCATATTTTCAATCAAACATAAAGAAAAAGCAAAGGTAAAATTTTTATAAATTATCATAGTCTTTGAAAATTAAAAAATACAAACATATTCTGTACAAAAATTTGAATTTTATATTAGAATTTTGTAAACATTGAAAAAAATCGACAAAAAATATTACAAAATAGCAGTCATCAGTATTACCGAACAAAAATTAGTGGTGAACTCCAACAGCATTTATGTCAAAAATAAAAGCCATTTCGTCTAGTAAATTTCAAAAGGATTTTTAAAGAAATCGAAAAGAATGCAAGACATTCTGAAATTTTATTATTTTGTTTGCGCCCAAGAAACTGGAACTGTTATCCATATTTTCAACAAGAAGTAAAATAGAAATACGTATATTATAATTTGAAATTTCAATTTCTTCTGCACAAATGAAAAAAATAAAGAAAAATTTAGAATATCCGGCATTTTTCTCAGTTTTCAGAAAGAATCCTTGAATTTAAAATTTCTGACAGGCTATGAAAATCTATGTGAAATCTATGAAATAGTCGAAACTCTTAACACGCTGCTTATGTTATCTGCCGCCGAACGATTTTATAATAATCGTATTACTGTCGAGTAGAAAAATATAATTCGTGGGTGCTTAACGAATGTGTAGTACGATTTAAATGACGCTAAGTGCTTGGAGAAGCAACGAGGATTGGACGACGCGTTCAACACGTCTTCTTATGGGGATTAAGGGGAATGAGAAATCGAAGATTTTAAATATAACGCTAGGGGGGCAGGTGAGGTAAAATATTTTCAGGCGATCGTGCCGTTTCGTTGCCGGAGGAAATATTGCTGGACGTGGTTAGGAGGTGATTGTTGTTAGGCTGATGTGCGTTTCGTTGCGTGGGCGGCGACGTCGACGTGGGGGACCACGTTCCGCCACTCTCGGCGCTTCCCTTAGTCGCCAGCCCGTAGTCCATGTGGCCTCGATTCGGGAAGTTCCCCGACGACGAGTTCGAATTCTGCAACGTCGTGACTGGCGCGGCTGAATTCTGAGCAGGCTGAGCTGGCGCGCTTGTGGAGTTGTTGAACTCGATCGTCAGCGGATCGACGTTCATGTTTGTCACTCCGGAATTTGGAAGCGGTCCCGGACCAGCAGAACCGTCCCAAAGTTCCAGAGATTTCGAATCTTCATTGTTGCCCAGATTCGCGTTCGTTCGCTGTCGTTTCGCGTCGCCGTACAATAGGCAGTGAACATTCGGCGAGCTGCTCCGGTCTCGAACTCCTTCCTGCTCTTCCAAGAATCGGTCCATGTAATCCCTATTTTTCATTTTTTACAATTTTAGTTTCATTTTTACAGAAAATTGCCTTTCTTAAACGCAGGGCTCGAACTGTGTTCGTTAATTTGCTTCAAGTCCATAAAAGTCAGTTTTTTAAAAAAAAAAAAAAAAGGTCCGTAAAGTCCGTAATTTGATAGAAAAAGGACGAAAAGTTCGTAAATTGTACAATATAATTTGGAGAATTTTACAGTAATTACAAATGATTGCAGAAATTCAATTATTTTCAAAATTAATAAAATTCTTCGCAGAAATTCAATTACGATCAAAAATTTTAAAAAATTCTCGTCAAAATTTCAATTATCTTTAGAAGTAATAAAATTCTTCTCCGAATTTCAATTATTTTCAAAAATTTTAATACGATTCTTGGCAAAATTTCAATTATTTTCAAAATTCTTCTTCAATTCAATGATTTTCAATATTATTTTAATAAAATTTTCCGAAAGAATTCAATTATTTAAAAAAAATTTGGTAAAACTCTACGGAAATATTTAATTATTTTCATAAAATAATAAAAATTTCACAGGAATTCAATTATTTACAAATTTTTAATAAATTTCTTCGCAATAATTCAATTATTTTCATAAATAATAAAACTTTTACAGAGATTCAATTATTTTCGTAAAAACTAAAATTCTGTTTAAAAAAATGAATATCATTTAAAATTCTAGATTATAATTGAATATTAAAAGCATTATAGCATGAATTTTTAGAAATACTTGAAAATTTGAAAAAGTTTCATATTAAAATCTTTGAAAGTTTGAATTTTTCATAATTTTAACTAACAATTCTGTATAAGAATTAATTTTTCTGAAAACTTTATTTGAATTTTACTTGAAATAATGTTTTTGAAGTTTTTATTTTCTGCAATATATTTAATTGAAGAATACCCGAATAATTGAAATTTTGTAAAATTGAATTGTAAAATAAATAAATTTGAAAATTCTTAAGGAAATTTTTGAAAATTTCTTAAAAATAATGAATTTATAGAAGAATTTCATTTAAAAACACTAAAAAATTTAATTTTAGAAAAGTTACAAATTATTGCAGAAATTCAATTATTTACATAAATTATAAAACTCATCGCAGAATTTCAATTATTTTTAATTGAATTTTAATCAAATTTCTTGAAAAATGTAATTATTCTTAAAAATTTTATTAAAAATTGTCAAAAGAATTCAATTATTTTAAAATTTGTTGATAAAATTCTTAATAAGAATTACATTTTAAACAACATTCAATTATTCAATAAATTATTTACCTACTTTTGTATTTAAATTATTCAATTCTAGGTAGTAGAATTTCCTAATAAAAATTGATTACTATAAAAAAAATGATTTGTTTCAATGGATTTATTAAAATTTTAGATAATAATTGAATTCTTTCGTGAAATTGTGTAAAAATTTTTTTTCAAATATTGAAATTTGAAAATAAAAAATTTTGTAATTTGCATAATAATAATAAATTGAATTTAGATGACAATTGAATAATATTATGAACAATTTACGAATAATTGAAATTTCGTAAAATTGAATATTGTAAACAAATGGATTTGAAAATTGTCAAAGAACTTTTTTGAAAATTATTAAAAACAATTGATTGAAAGAAGAATTTTAGTTAAAAATTCAATAATTATTATAAAAAAAAATTGAATTTCTAGTTTTAAGTAAAATGTTCTCTTATTTGACTCGGAGTACTTGTATTTTTGTCAGAAATTGGTCCGTAATTTAAAATTTTTGGTCCGTATTTTGAAATACTTTCACTGGTTCGAGCCCTGTAAGCAGGAATATGTTGAACTCACGTAATCCCAGGATGGAGAGCGTACTTTTTTTTCTCCAAACGGGCCTTGTAGGTGAAAATGTCATGTCTCTCTGTCTTTTTCCATAAGTAATAAAATTGAACGAGTTCGCCGACAGATCTTGTCCTCACCTGCAACAATTTGTTCACTACCAATCAAGTAGCAAAGAACAATAGAATTTTTTCAATTCTCCGCAATTTCAATATCAAACTCAGAATGAATGAATTGTTTTTTTCAATTTTTAATGCGATTAAGAAAAAAAGATTGTTGCAGTAGATTTTGAATTGAAAAATTCGGCAAAAGTTGAAAATTCTAAAAGGGGAATGAAAGAATGTACCTTATTCTTTTGAATGAGATGGAAATCTTTTCCGTAATTTCTTAAGCCAGATTCAAAATTATGACATTCTTCTTCGGACCACAAACTGACGGCCTCAGATTGCGGTTGGACATTCATTCGACGCCTACGAAGTGCTTCGTCCAGGTTGTAACCGCACTGGAGTAGCAAGTACAGAGCTTGCTCATCGTCTCGGATGTGCGAGCCGGAGGGCAAGGAAGTTGCTTTCACAGTTGGCAACTGGGCTCTTTCTAGGAACTCCTCGGTCTCCTCTTCTGGAATATGACTCGGGTCCCAGAGCATTTTGTCCTCGTTTTCGTAGGGCAATGCGTCGTCGTATTTACACAGACCTTCCGGTATCGCGGCTTGATAGTCGCTGCCAACCTGAAATTCATTATTCAAAATTTAACTCGAAGTACAGAGATTTACAAATAAGTAAATTGAAACAAATTCGAGACAAACCATGATCGTCTTCTTCCACTCTTCTTCGTCGGGACTGTAGTCGCAGTCGTCTTCTTCCTCTTCGCTTTGCGGTCGGGAGACACTGCGAAGAAGTCGGGAGGACCCACTGCCTCCGTTGCTGCCCCCGCCGCCGCTGTTTCCGCCTCCCGGCTCCATTCCATCGTTGCCCTCGGCGCAGTTTCCAGTGTCGTTTCCACCGACATCGCCGCCACTATTAGCGCCAGCGCCAGAACTGCCGCCGTCTTCGGAAACGCCATTTCCCGAGTTCCCACTCTCCGTTATGTTCGGCTCGTTCGCACAGCCGACAGCGGTCGTGCAAACGTTTTCCGTCCCTCTATTATTGTTGCTACCACGATTTGCCTCGTTTTCCTTCATTTCCTCCTTCTGCACCATTTCCGTGTAGAACTGCTTCAGATCCGGCTCATTGTTTGAAGGATCGTCATCGTCCTCTTCTTCCTCCTCCTCCTCTTCCTCTTCCTCCTCCTCTTCTTCGTCCTCCTCCATTTTGTCCTTCAATTCCCCGTCGTCCTGAGGAATGAGGACCATCCTCTCGGAACTATTCGCATTGCCCACTGAAGAATCTCGTAATCCGTACATTGCGAGTAAATCTTTCAAAGGCATATCACCTTCCTGTAAAATATTACAATTTTTACACTACATATTCTAAATTGCAGGGTTGCCACGCTTTTGCTCTTTTCGAATTCCCTAAATTTTTCAGGTTTTCCAGCTAGAAAAACGCAATTTTTACAGGTTTATTCGAAAATATCAATAACTTCATTTTAAATCATTATTATTTTTTTGTAGAAATTAAGATTTTCAAAAATTTCAAATTCAATAAAATATAATAATTCAAACTTGCTACTTTGTTACTGTAACTTTTTCAAAAATTATTTTCATCATTACGATTATTCATTTCTAGAATTTTCAACTAAAATTCGTCCATTTTTTTAAAATAATTTTTGAAAAAGTTCTTTTCAAATTCTTTTGTTTACAATATTCAATTTTACGAAATTTCGTTTATTCTGACATTCTTCAATTAAATATATTAAGAAATTAAAATCTTTAAATAATTAAAAAAGATTCCATATTAAACTTTTTGAAAAAAATTAATTCTTACAGAATTCTTAATTAAAAGTTTGAAAAGTTCAAATTTCAAAGATTTTAATTTGAAACCTTTTGAAAATTCAATTATTTCTAAAAATCCACGCACTGTTATGCTTTCAATATTCAATTATAATATAAAATTTTAACTGAAATTCATTTTTAAATCAATATTTATTAGAAAATTCTACGAGAATTCAATTATTTAACAACAAAATAAATATTTCATTAAATAACTGAATGTTTCTTAAAATTGAATTATCGAAAAGAATTAAATCAACAAATTTTTTAAATAATTGAATTCTTTTGACGAATTTTAATCAATTTTTTAAGAATAATTACATTTTTCGAGGAATTGGATTAAAATTGTACTAAAAATAATTAAAATTCTGCGATGAGCTTAATTATTTATGAAAATAATTGAATTCCTTAAACAAATTTATTATTTATAAAAATAATTAAATTTATAATTTATGAAATTAATTGAATTATTGCAAAGAAATTTATAAAAAATTTGTTAATAATTGAATTCCTGTAAAATTTTTATTTATGAAAATAATTAAATGTTCGACTACAATTTTATTAAAAAATTTTTTAAATAATTAAATTCCTTTGGGAAATTTATTAAAACAGTAGAATATTGAAAATCATTGAAATGAGGAAACTTTGGAACCATTTAAGTATTACGTAAGCATTTAAGGGGCAGGGGGGGGTCTAGCTATTGCTTATTTTCATTAGAAAAAATGGCGCTAATGCATATAAAAAATCTTACGATGGGGGAGGGGGGGGGTCTAAAAACCTAAAAAATATGCTTACGTAATACTTGAATGGCCCCTTTTTGAAAATAATTGAATTTTGGAGAAGAATTTTGTTATTTATAAAGATATAATTGTGATTTTTAATAGAATTTTTATTGTAAATTTGAACATAATTGAACTTTGAAAGAAGAATTTTATTACTTTTGAAAATAATTGAATTTCTGCAATTATTTGTAACTTCTCCGAAATTCAATTGTTAAAAATGTTTTTAACTAAAATTTTTCTGTAAATCCATTATTTTTAATAAAATTAATTAAATATAATATATTGACAAATTTAACTAATTTCGAGAAGAATTTGAATTATTAGGGTCAGTCCATTGACTTTCGTCTGAGAGTCGTTGCGACCATATTTAAAAAAAATCTAATTTTCATATATGTGAAACTCGATGATTTTCCGAGTTCATTAATCATAATATTATGTTACAAATTTTATTCCGTACAATAATATTAATTATCAAAAGTAGGTGGTTCACGATGTGATTTCGTAACCTTAAATTTTTCAACTTTTTAAAAGACGTTATTATTCAAAAACTATTAAATATTAGGGGTTGGTACTTACCACAAATATAAATCTTTCCATTCTGCACGTTCTAACGACCAAAATGAACTAAAAATTCTATTATTTGTGGACGAAAATTGATTTTAAAAATTTTTTTATCCAAAAAAATTACACTTTTTGTTTCACTTACAACTTTTTTGTCGGACCTCAAAAAAATTTGGGGTTTTGTAAATATTTCTTTAAGAACATAATTTATCTTCTATTGAAATTTGACGAAGGTGTTTTTCTTCGTTCTCAAAATAATAATTATAAAAAATTTCGTTCAAAAAGGTTAATTCTAAGACTTGAAGTTGATATTGACACTAAAATAACAATGCTTGTTGTTTATTTCAAGCATTATAATTAACCTTTTTGAACAAAATTTTTTATAATTATTATTTTGAGAACGATGAAAAACACCTTCGTCAAATTTCAATAGAAGATAAATTATGTTCTTAAAGAAATATTTGCAAAACCCCAAATTTTTTTGAGGTCCGACAAACAAGTTGTAAGTAAAACAAAAAGTGTAATTTTTTTGGATAAAAAAATTTTTAAAATCAATTTTCGTTCACAAATAATAGAATTTTTAGTTCATTTTGGTCGTTAGAACGTGCAGAATGGAAAGATTTATATTTGTGGTAAGTACCAACCCCTAATATTTAATAGTTTTTGAATAATAACGTCTTTTAAAAAGTTGAAAAATTTAAGGTTACGAAATCACATCGTGAACCACCTACTTTTGATAATTAATATTATTGTACGGAATAAAATTTGTAACATAATATTATGATTAATGAACTCGGAAAATCATCGAGTTTCACATATATGAAAATTAGATTTTTTAAAAATATGGTCGCAACGACTCTCAGACGAAAGTCAATGGACTGACCCATTAACATTTTGCAAAAATCTAAGTTTTTTAAAATTTCCAATTAAATTCATTAAAAATTGAAATTTTATAAAATTTCAAATTAAAACCTTTTGAAGTTGATCTATTTATGATAATATTCTACAAGAATTCAATTATTTAATACATAAATAAATATTTTATTAAATAATTGAATGTTTCTTAAAATTGAATTTTCATAAAGAATTTTAGCAATACAACAAATTTTTAAATAATTGAATTCTCTTGACAAATTTTAAAGTTTTTAAGAATAATTTCATTTATTCGAGGAATCTAATAAAAATTGTATTAAAATTAATTGAAATTCTGCCAAGAATTTTATTAAAATTTTTGAAAATAATTAAATTTCGAAGTAAATTTTTATTATTTAGAAAGATAATTAAAATTTTGACGAGAATTTTTGTAAATTTTTGAACATAATTAAATTTCTGCGAAGAATTATATTATTTTTGAAAATAATTGAATTTCGACAAGTTTTTGAAATTAATTAAATTTTTACCAAAGATTTTATTAAAATTATTTTGAAAAAAATGGATTGTTACATGGAATTTCATTAAATTTTTTTAAAATAATTTTATTCTTTGAAGAAATTTAATTCAAAATGTATTGGAAATAATACTAAATTGTAATTTATGTCAATAATTGAATTATTGCGAAGAAATTTATAAAAAAATTTGTAAATAATTTAATTCCTGTGGAATTGTTATTATTTAATTGATTAAATTAGTTAAATGTTTGCGTAGAATTTTATTAAAAATTTTTTTAAATAATTAAATTCTTTTGCCAAGAATTTTATCAAAATTTTTTAAAATAGGTAATAGAATTTCGGAGAAGAATTTTATTATTTATAAAAATAATTTTAACGAGAATTTTATAAAATTTTTGAATCTATACTTGAAATTTTGCGAAGAATTTTATTAAAATTTTAGAAAATAATTGAATTTCGAAGAAGAATTTTATTATTCATAAAAATAATTGAAATTTTAAAGAGATTTTTTGCAAATTTTTGAACATAATTAAATTTCTGCGAAAATTTTTATTAATTTTGAAAATAATTAAAAGGATTACGCACAAAATACATACAAATTGGATCCCAGTCATTTTTTTTTATTTTTCAATTGGGAATCTTTTTCCTGACACAAAAAACTACTTTTCTACGCAGTTCCAAAAAAAAAATCAACTGGGATCCAATTTATATGTATTTTGTGCGTGGTCCTTTTATAAAATTTCAAATTAAAACCTTTTGAAGTTGATCTATTTATGAAAATTCTAAAAGAATTCAATTATTTAAATACAAAAATAAATGTTTAATTAAATAATTTAACGTTTCTTAAAATTGAATTTTCATAAAGAATTCAATCAATAAACTTTTAAATAATTGAAATCTCTTGAAAAATTTTAAGAAAATTTTTAAGAATAATTTCATTTTTCGATATATTTTATGAAAATTGCATTAAAAATTGAAATTCTGTCAAGAATTTTATTACAATTTTTGAAAATAATTTAATTTCGGAGAAAAATTTTATTATTTAAAAAGAGAATTGAAATTTTGACGAGAATTTTTGTAAATTTTTTTTTACATAATTGGATTTCTGCGAAGAATTATATTACTTTTGAAAATAATTGAATTCTTAAGACGAATTTGATTAAAAATTCTTTTTAAATAATTGAAATCTTTTGTGAAATTTTATTGAAGTAGTAGACATTTAAAATAATTGAATTTTGACAAATTTTTTAAATTAATTACATTTTTACGAAGAATTTTATTAAAATTATTTTGAAAAAAATTGAATTGTTAGAAAGAATTTCATTAAAATTTTTGAAAATAATTTTATTTAATTCTTAATTGAATTTCTTTGATAAATTTTAATAAAATTTTAAAAAATAATTACATTTTTCGAGGAATTCCATTAAAATTATTGTATTAAAAATAATTGAAAGTCTGCGATGAGTTTTATTATTTATTTATGAAACTAATTGAATCCCTGTAAAAAATGTTATTATTTATGATAATAATTGAATAATAATTTATGAAAATAATTTGTAAATAATTGCATTTCTGTGAATTTTTTTTTATTATTTATGAAAATAATGAATTGTTTTCGTAGAATTTTATTAAAATTTTTTTTAACTGATTGAATTCATTTAGGAATTTTTATTAAAGTAGTAGATATTAAAAATCATTGAATTGAGGAAAGTTTTTGAAAATAATTAAAATTTTACCAAGAATTTTATTAAAATTTTTGAAAATAATTGGACTTCTGATAAGAATTTTACTACTTTATAAAATAATTGAATTTCTGCAATCATTTGTAATTGCTTCAAAATTTGATTTATTTTAGTGTTTTTAACTGAAATTCTTTTATAAATCTATTATTTTCAATAATCAATTAAATATATATTAAAAAATTTAACTAATTTCAGAAGAATTTTAGTTATAACAATTTTTTAAAATCTAGGTGTTTTAAAATTTCTAATTATTTAAATTCATATGTTTAAAATTGAAATTTTACAAAATTTCAAATTAAAATCTTTTGAAGTTCATCTATTAACGAAAATTGTAAACGCAACGCTTTTAAAATTGAATTAATTTTGAAATATTGAAGTAAAATTAGATTTCAAGAATAAACTTTAGAAAATAACAATTTTCCAGGATTTCGATAAAAATTTCCTGACTTTTCTAGGGTTTATAAAATTCCCTGACATTTGCAGGTTTTCCAGGTTTCCAGGTTGCGTGGCAACCCTGAAACTGGAAACCAAAAAAAGACAGAAGGCTACACTACCTTTTGCAAATTTGACAACTCGTTGTGAGAATCCTCACTGCCCTCTAAAGCCTCTTCCTCGTCAAGTGTTCGTTCGTCGTCAAAATCATTCACGAGAATATCAGTAGCTGATCCTATATCGTAATCTCGATCAGCCCTGAAAATATTCGCCGAGAGTGACAAATATGAAAAGAAAACAGTGCCTCAAATAAAAACTTTATTTTAAATCAAATAAAAGTTACTCACATGTTTTATTCTCCATCAACTTTTGAAGACGACGTAAAACCATCGAGAATTAACGAAAAAGAACAAACTTTTCTGAAAATTCTTCTTTAAAATAAAAAATCTACGACGTACACAAAACCAAAAGTGTATATAAAACTTGGAATTTTATTTCCTTTGCGAACAAAACTTTTTATAAGGTTCATAGAGAAAGTACCAATTGATTACCACTCAACATCGAAATCGCTGTTTCTTCCTCATTTTAGGACTTATAAACTTCTTCGAGGAAAACGACCTCAAGAACGAAGCTAACCTCAAAACATTCAAGGATGCTCCGATTCAATTTTATATCAAAAAAACACAAAACTTTCAATTTTTTACCATTTTAATAATCATCGTTAGATTTAATTTCTTACCGCCATCGTTATTTCACTTTATATTTTTCGTTTACTTGTAAAAAATCTTTTTATTATTGAAAAAACAAGCCTAACGCCACTTTAAGACCATGAAGTTACTGCTCACTGTTGAGATGTAAAACTCGCAGTAGTGGAATATTCTTGACCTTACGGCATGTATTGTTAACGTTCTTCGGGTCCCTCGACCCTACAATGGAAAAACGTACAAACGGTACAAACAGTACAAACTGTCACTTTATTATTTTTATGACATACATTGACTGACAGAAAAAGAAAACAGTTATATTTTGTTATCATTGTTGAAATATACAGTAGAGAATTTGTTTTAAAAAATGTCATACATTTTGTTAAGGAAAACCTTCAATTCCCATCGCTCAAGAGTAAGTGATTTATATAAATTTTATTTCACATATTATGACACAGAGTTATCTATTTATAGAATAAAAACTTTTATTTAATTTTTTTATAAGTATGAAATTGAATCCGTATTTTTTATGTGTATGTGCAAACAATTAATTTTGCATTTATATTTCAATTTTACATTGTCATTGTTCACTATTATATAACAATGCCATATATCCGAAATTCGAATTCTGAAATAAACAAATATTTTCGTTATATTCATTATTCTTCGCAGCCAGAACATAAGAAACATACAATTTATTAGAAAATTATGAAAAAAATTATTGACATTTATTAAGAACTAGCAAATGTTACGCGCGGAATGTGATGTTTAATATTTATTATTATTATTATTATTATTATTATTATTATGAAAATGACAACATTTTTTTTCCAAATACAGATTTTTGAATAATTTCTTAATCAGAATTTTAAAAAATCATTTATTAAGTACACAATTAATTATTATTGTTTATATTTTCAAAACTTTTAATTTCTTGGCAAGAATTCAATTATTTTTATAAATATTAAAATTTTTTTTGAAAAAATTAAATTATTTCAACAAAATTTTAATAAAATTTCACGAAAGAATTCAATTATTTTCTAAAATTTTTATAAATCCTTTAAAAAAATTCAATTATTTCTTTAATTCAATTATTTTCTAAAATTTTTATAAATCATTTAAAACACTTCAATTATTTCTTTAAATAGTAAAATCTTTTCAAAAATTCATGAAATTAATTTCACGAAAGAATTCAATTATTTTCTAAAATTTTTACAAATCCTTCAAAACAATTAAATTATTTTCAATAAAATTTTCCGAAAGAATTCAATTTTTTTTCTTAATTCGCTTTAAAAATTCTCAAAAGAATTCAATTATTTTCTAAAATTATAATAAATCCTTCAAAACAATTCAATTATTTTTATAAATATAGTAAAATTCTTTGCAAAAATTCAATTATTTTAAATACAATTTGAATAAAATTTCATTAAAGAATTCAATTTTTTTTAAATTTTTAATAATATTTTTCGAAAAAATTTAAATATTTTTAAAAATTTTAATAAATCTTTTGAAGCAATTCAATTCAATTTTTTTTATTTTCTAATAAAATTTTTCGAAAGAATTCAATTATTTTTAAGGGCATTTGAAACTTCTTCTTCTTCTTCTTCTTGTTTAATGGCTTCGAAAATTTTCAGGCCAATTCTTGATGCATTTGAAACTTGATGCCGTTACAGTTTGTGCAAAGCATGTGTGACGTCATCAAGGTTCAAATGCCCTTACAAATTTTATAGTTCCTTCGAAGCAATTCGATTTTTTTTTATTTTTAAATAAAATTTTTCGAAACAATCCAATTATTATCTAAACTTTTAATAAATCCTTCTAAACAATAATTAAATTATTTTTTTAAGGATTAAAATTCATCGCAAGAATTAAATTATGTATTTGTTATAAATAAAAAAATTCTTCTCAGGAATTCCATTATTTTCAATAAAATTTTAATAAACTTCAATAATTATATTTAACTATTAACAGACACGATTATTTTAAAAGTTGAAAAAGATTTTTTGGTTAATTCAATAATTTTCAAAATTTTCGATTAAAATTATTCAAAAAACTGTACCTATTTTAAAAAAAATTTTCAAATAATTTTATTATTTTCTATATTTTAATAAAATTCCTTGAATGAATTAAATTATTTTTAAAAATTGTAATAAAATTCTAAGAAGAATTTAATTATTTTTCAAAAATTTTAATATAATTCCATAATAAATTGAATGTTTAATTTCAATTATTAAGAAACACGATTTCCAATTAATTAATTAAACTCCAGTGTTTAGAAAAATTCAAAGAAATTCATCAAAAGAATTGAATTAGGATTTTCAAAAATTTTACTAAAATTTTTCGATGAAATTCAGTTATTCTCAAATTTTTTGATAAAATTCTTCGAAGGAATTCAATTATTTTCAATTTTTTTTATAAAATTCTTTGTAAGAATTCAATGATTTTCAATACATTAACTTTAAAATTGAAAATATTTCAAAAGCAAAATTATTAAAAAAGTTAGATTACTAAATTTATCATTATAAATTGATATAAGCATTTAAAGTTATAAAATAATAAATAAAATATTATTCCAAAGTTGATCTAAAAATTTCTTTTTTTAATAAAGGTAATTTTTAAAAAAAATTTTGTTTCTAACTATCCCCATTCAATTTTTGTAATGATGATCAAATAAGTATATGATGAATAAAAAATAAAATTTATGAAAATTTTTTAATTCTTTAAAAAAAATACTTGAGATTTCATTAAAAAACTGTAATAAAAATTAGAAATTATGCAAATTTTTTATCAAAATTTTAAAATAATCTCATTCAAAATCGTAACTAACAAATAGAAAATAATAGAGATTTTTTCCCTAAAGCTATTTAAAATTTTCTAAAAAACTATGTTTTATAATTATATATTAATTTTGAAAATTTTGGTATAAAAATGATGCAAAATTATTATTTCTTATTTGCAAAGAAGATCAAAATTTTGTTAAAAAATTGTTATTAGAAATAGAAATTTTGCAAAATTTTTTCCTCTTTTTCAAAAAGAAACTCATAATTTTGTGAACAGAATTGTGATTGAGAAGCAGAAAATCTGGAAAATCATTTCTAAATCTTAATTTTTTAACAATTTTCGAACTTTTATCAAAATTATAGAATTTCATAAAGTTTAGGAAATTAAATATTAGAAATCATAACTTTTTAGAAAAATTTTTTTTTAACAGGATGGCCACATGTCAGTAAAGTCAGTAAAGTCAGGAAAATGTCAGTAAAACAAAATTTTTGTTAGTAAAGTCAGGGAAATTTAGAAAATTTTCAAAAATATGCGTATTTCCAAAATTGCGACTTTCTCGGCTTTTCTTCAAATATTGCAACAAAATTACATATTTTTTAGTACCTATTAAATGTACCTCATTTCGATTTTTATAGCGCAAAAAATAACTATAAACTAATCTTTCAAAAAATATTTTTGAATCATTTTTCTATTTAAATTTTCGAAATATAGAATTAAAAAGATTTTGAATAATTGAATTCTTGTAAAATTTAATTGAAAATAATTAATTTTTTTCAAGTATTATGTTAGAATTTTTAAAAATCAACTTTTGAAGAATTTTAATTGCAAATATGGAAAATAATTGAATTATCAAAAATTTTAATGAAAAATCTTTAAACGTAAATTTAAAAATGAAAATTAATGAAAATTAGCTTCTAATTTTTTTAAATTTAATATTTTCAATTTTTTTAATTACATATTTCCGAAAATTCAAATACATACAAAAAATAATAACATTTTGGAGAAAAAAATAATGTTTAAAATATTTCATTATAATTCATCAAAAAATTAATTAAGTTTTTTAAAATAATACAAAAACTCTTTTAAAAAATTCAATTGTTTTCGAAAAATTACATTAAAATATTTTTAAAAACTACTTAATTCTTAGAATTTTTTTATCATAATTTTTTAAGATTTAATTATCTTCGAATAAAGAAAATAAAAATTTACTTTTTTTTAAACTTTCATATTTTCCTGTAAAAAAATTTTGTCAGGGAAAATAATTTTAATGTCAGGGAAATTGATAAACTCAAACTGTGACCACCCTGTTTAGAAATGAAAAGTTGTTAGAAAAATTTTTTTTAGAAAACAGATTTCATTAGAAATTGCTTTTTTTTAGACAAAAAGGGATTAGAAAATATTTTATAGAAAAAGTGACAACGTACCAAATTTACAAAGTAAAATAATTGCATCTTATCTCTTTTTCACGATTTTTCAATGTTTTTGTAGAAAAACGAAAAAATGGGACTTTCGGGAATAATATTAAATTGCCACTAACTACATAAATGTATACACAAAAATGTTGTTTTATTAATTTTCTAAATAACGGCTTATTTCAGCTGCAGGAGAAATTAACTCTGCTGGTTCTTCTTCAACAAACGAGGTGCCTAGGTTTGGTTTTTCAGAAACAAAATCGCATGACGATTACGAGGAATAGAGTTGCGCTAATTCGTAAGCGAAACTCAATCAAATTTCCTCTTATTAATAAATATTAAACACATCTATAATGATCTTATCTTTTTTCTTTAAAGGGACCAATCAACAGAGAAAAAGCCAAAGACTACCGACGAGTATGAATTCATTCATAAAAGCAAACTACCCACAATGCACTTTCAGGCGTCCTTGCCTCGTTTGCCAGTTCCGAAATTGGAAGACACTTGTCGACGATATTTGAACGCACAAAAACCTCTACTGAGTGAAGAAGAATTTACAAAAACAAAATCCTTCGTAGACAAATTTTTGAAGAGTGAAGGACAAACATTCCAAAAAGAATTACTAGCGACAGATAAAAGAAATTCTCACACCAGTTATATCAGCGAATATTGGTTCGATATGTACCTGAGAGATCGAAGGCCATTGCCAATCAATTACAATCCAATTTTAGTTTACAATCAAGAGACTGACGAACGCTACAATGATCAACTGGTGAAAGCCACGAATCTTATTGTTTCCTCGGCTCGATTTATGAAGTCACTGAGGGCTGGAATTCTGGAACCAGAAGTTTTTCATTTGAATCCTAAAAAGTCGAATACCGAATTATTTCGCACAATTACGGGAATGTTGCCCTCGTGGATTTCTTGGTATGGAGCTTATGCTTTTAAGGTAGATTTTTCATTTAAACATTTTTTGCAAGAGATGGAAATTTAAAAACTTGTGGAATCATTTCTTTTTGTTATTATATTATATTTATATTTAAATAGAATCCGACATTGTTTGTAATTAACAATTTCGAAAATGACAGTAAACAGTTACAGGGTTGCCACAGGTCAGGGAAATCAGTGAATTCAGGGAAAAGTCAGGGAAAGTAAAATTGGTCAGGGAAATTAGGGAAAAGTCAGGGATTTTTATTAAAGTATCTACTGGAAAAAATTGAATTTTGGAGAAATTACAAATGATTGCAGAAATTCAATTATTTTCAAAAGTAATACAATTTTTCGCAGAAATTCAATTATTTTCAAAAGTAATAAAATTCTTCGCAGAAATTCAATTATGTTCAAAAATTAAAAAAAATTCTCTTCAAAATTCAATTATCTTTAAAAATAATAAAATTCTTCTCCGAATTTCAATTATTTTCAAAAACTTTACTTAATAAAATTCTTTGCAAAATTTCAAATACATATTTTCAAAAAAATTTTCTCAATTCAATAATTTAATCAGTAAATTATTTATTTTTGACATTTTGTATTTAAATAATTGAATTCTTGTAGAATTTTCCAATAAAAATTGATTTAAAAATGAATATTAATGAATATATTAAAAGCATTATAACATGAATTTTTTAAAATAATTGATTGAATTCTTTCGAAGAATTTTAATAAAATTTTTGAAAACAATTACAGTTTTCGAAGAGTTTACTTAAAATTGTATTAAAAATGATTGAAAACATGTGAAGAGTTTTATTAATTTATGAAAGTAATTGAATTCTTGCAATGAATTTTTTCAAATTTTTTTTTAAATAATTGAAATAATGTAAAGAATTTTATTATTTATGAAAATAATTAAGAATTCCTGCAATGAATTATATTACATTTTTTTTAAATAATTGAATTCTTTTGAGAACTTTAAAAAATAGTAGATTTTTAAAATATTTGAATTTCAACGAAGAATTGTATTAAAAATAATTGAAATCCCAAGATAAATTTTATAATTTATGAAAATAATGGAATTCTTATAACGAATTTTATCAAATTTTTTTTAAATAATTGAATTAATGTGAAAAATTTTATTACTTTGTAAAAATAATTGAATTCCTGCAACGAATTTATTAAATTTTATTTAAATAACTAAATTCTTTTGAGAAATTTTATTAAAATAGTACATTTTGAAAATTTTTGAATTTGAAATGAATAATGAAATTCAGCGAAGAATTTCATTATTTGTGAAATGTAATTTAATTCTTCTAAAAAATTTTTGAAGATAATTTCATTTTTCGAGAAATTTATTTAAGATTTTATTTAAAATAATTGAAACCCTTTGAATTTTAGTATTTATGAAAATAATTGAATTCTTGCAACGAATTTTATTATAATTTTTGTAAATAATTTAATTTTTTTTTGAAAAATTTTATGGAAATTAAAATTTTTATAAAACATGAAGATATCATTCACTCCGAGTCTTTCGACTCGGAGTAATTGATATCTTCATGTTTTATAATAATATTCTTATAAATTGTTTAATTTTAAAAATGTTTGAATTTGAATGTTTTGAAGAATTGTAATTCCTTTGGAAAAATAATAATTAAATACTTATTTAAAAATTTAGTTATTGATGTTTGCGAATAATTTTACAATTATTAAAGAAATTCGTAATAAGAAAATGTAATAGAATGTTTTTTTGAGTATCTAACAATTTTTAAAGTGAATCAGAATACTCTTTAGGGTCAGGGAAAAAGTCAAAATTTTGTCTGGAAATCAGGGAAAAGTCAAGGAAAAACAAAATTAAGTTTTTGTGGTAACCCTGAGTTACTAAATTTTCTGCACCTAAGTTTTGAGAGCACTAATATCATTTTAGCAGTCGATTTTAAAATATATCATTTAACTTGATTAATAATAATTCAAAAAGTAGATGTTCAAATTTATAGTAAAAATAAATCGTCTCATAGATTGTATTTAAAGTTTTTACATAAGTGTTTGAAACAAAATAGAAAATCTGCCTATAAAAATTAGTACTTGCTTTTTAAGGTCATATAGGGGAATAAGTGATTCCTTAAATTACTTCTCATTTAAAAAAAAATATTTTGGATCGAAATTTTGTGAAAATTGTTTAAATAGTGACAAAACAGTGATTTAGTTAATTACTTCTCATTCCAAAAGGATAAAATATTTGGAATCTTCTCTTTACTTTGAGACGAATAGAATTTTTATATTGAAATTTAAGAATAAAAATATATTAAATTAAGTAAAATAAAAAAAGTAAGATAAATCTGATCAAAAATAAATTAAACAAATTCTATTCACATCCAGCGCGACCGGGTTCAGAGTTGCTGGAGCTCTATTTGGCGAGAAGAAAATATTAATAAATACGCGGACGCCAGTTAATTTTTATGAAATTAACAAAACACAGATAAATAAATTAGACACGAGATCACAAGGAGGGTAGCGTTGGGGAACCCTAACAAAATAATATAAAATAAAGATCAAGTGACTTCCAGGAATAAAACAAATTTATTAAATAAATCAAAAGAACATTAACCACTTACGTATTGTTGATCAAATATCGACTCTTGTCGATCTTTCTCTCTCAAATCAAGATTTTACAAGTCACATCGAACCACTCAAACAAAAGTTACAATATCAATTTTGAGATCACACTAAGCAGTTACATACAACAACGGTCGAACAAAGAGTAACGTGCTCTTTTTGAAAATTTGGTAATGCGTCAATTGATCAAATTATTGGCGCTTCAATCGATGTAAGGTCGCAGGGGCGAACTATTGACCTTACAACCCTTACCCTTATTAAAAAGATATTTGATCAATATATGGCTTGAAATAACGTCAGAATGACTTTCCCGTCACATTCTCCCCCTTCAGAGATGACGTTAGTTCAAGAAAAATGAGAACTTGAAACTAAAACAAAAAATTAATCTGGAAAAATTAAATTGATAATCAATACAAAATAAGACAAGTAAAATAATAGTGATTAATGTCTGTAAGAAAGATTAGATTAATATCATTCTTGCTTCTAAAAATTAAGATATTTAAACATTCCTGGAAGTTTCCTGTTCAGTTAACTAAGAAATGTCATATTTGGGTTATTAAGATATCAAAGTTACCAAGGTCATATTAAAAAACAAAATTTTTCTATGAAGTAATAATAATCTATAAAAAGAAATTAAAAGTTACATTAAATAGATACAAAATATAAAAGGAAACTTTGGTAGTACCCTTGGTCAAAATTGATTCCTATTTAGTCGAAATATTTCATCAAAGAAAATGCAACGCAAATTAGACCATCAAAAAATGCAATACAATGATAGAAAAGAATACAAAAGATCAATATCGAAGTCACAAGCATATTTTGTTTCTCTGGTAAAAGTCCCTGTTCACAAAGATGTTATGATCATTCGATGCATCCAACTTGACGCTGATACGATGACCCAATATTCCTCTCCATCTGCCGATTCCGGTCTGAGCTTCATCACTTTATCAAGTGTCAAATTAGCAAAAGGTGTAGTCAACTATCTTTTATTTCACGTTCGCCAATTGATGAAGTCCAGGCACAGTTGAATTTGCAGGGTTTTCAATAACAACCAAAGCATTCTCCTTGATCAAAAATTTGGTCTAGTTCGATTTGATGCAAAACTATCGTTGACCTTGCGTCGAAGTCCTTGTGCTTCTGCCTTCTTGATCATCTGATCTCTCAAAATTGATTTTCTTGGCATCGTTGTATAATTCAGACGAAGTCAATCAACATATGGGAAGATGCAGTCGTTGGTTTCGAATCTGTCAGCACCACAGACACAATAAGATCCAGGCCTCTTCCTGATCTGCAATTCTGCCGTTTTGATTATAAGCCCTTTCAATAACTTATCGGACAAAATTTTGTAGTTGGTCATGTAATTTGGTGAAGACTGATACTCTTGAATGATCAATTTTGACACTCCGAGTTTTTCCAGAGCCTCGTCGAAAGTTGGAACATTCTTCATGGTGTATGAGAAGGGCTCCATTTTTACTGCAAAAGCAATGACAGGCGCATGATCATCCGTCGACTTTAAAATCTTTCCCTCGACAGTCCTCGACTCCCTGATTCTTGAAAACATATTCCTTTGGAGATACTCAGCATCAATTTGTTTCTGAGTCAATCTGATTGTTCTGGTGAGATCACCCGTATGCATCGACTGTAGTACTCCTGACTTATAAGTGACGGCTGAGTTGTAGTTGGCGCTACTGGTCATGTAAACCGGAATTCTTTCAACTTTCAATGCTTTCAATGAATATCAGGGGTGCTATTCTGTAACTTCACTTCACATTCACTTCACTTTCACTTCACTTTCACTTCACATTCACTTCACTTTCACTTTACATTCACTTCACATTCACTTCACATTCACTTCACATTCACTTCACATTCACTCCACATTCACTTCGCATTCACTTCACTTTCACTTCACATTCACTTCACATTCACTTCACTTTCACTCCACATTTACTTCACATTCACTTCACATTCACTTCACATTCACTTTCAATGTGAAGTGAATGTGAAGTGAAAGTGAAGTAAATGCGAAGTGAATGTGGAGTGAAAGTGAAGTGAATGTGAAGTGAATGTGAAGTAAATGTAAAGTGAATGTAAAGTGAATGTAAAGTGAATGTGGAGTGAATGTAAAGTGAATGTGAAGTGAAAGTGAAGTGAAAGTGAAGTGAATGCGAAGTGAATGTGAAGTGAATGTGAAGTGAATGTGAAGTGAATGTGAAGTGAATGTGGAGTGAAAGTGAAGTGAATGTGAAGTGAATGTGAAGTGAATGTGAAGTGAAGTGAATGTGGAGTGAAAGTGAAGTGAATGTGAAGTGAATGTGAAGTGAATGTGAAGTGAATGTGGAGTGAAAGTGAAGTGAATGTGGAGTGAATGTGGAGTGAAAGTGAAGTGAATGTGAAGTGAAA